GCTGAAAGATAGACATAAATGTTATAAATAAATAAATAAATGACATTATAATTGACATAATTCATAATTCAAGGGGTGTGGTGGCCTAGAGGCGAAGATGCTCCCCTCTCACTCAGAAGGTTGAGAGTTCTATCCCAGGCAGTGACAGATGTTTCTGTAGCAGGGCACAAAGAGAAAATATCTGCTGTGATCTCCACATAGGAGTCAGGAAGGGCATCTGGCCAGTAAATGCTGAGCTCCATTCAGTTGCCCCTGACTCTACGCCGAATTAAGGGATTACAGGGTTGTAAAAAGAACAAAAATGATGTTATAATTTAATTGGTGTTTGGGAAGCAATATTTCTTCACTATCTTCACCCACAGATTAAGAGAAACTCTGAAGGTCTCATCATCAATAGATGCGTGGGGAAAGCAGCTGTCAAAACTCCCTGTTAGAGGAGCAGCCACATCTTTCCTGGGGACATCAGATTGTTATAATTAAAGAATCCACACAGCTTGGTACCCTGTTTTAAAGAACTGCAATGTAAATTACATTCATTTCCCATTGAGGTTAATGCTGGAATCTAAATTAAGAATGGAATGCTTACAGCATCTTAAGATGGAAAGAAGGTAGAAGCTTTGGAGCCAGAAGTACAGTACTCCCTGGCACCCTGCTTCCTGCCAATTCCTCAGTCCATGTCTTTGACAATTCTGATGTCAACCCTGAAGCTGACCTGACCAAACCATTTTGAGGCTTTAGTGTTGCCACACTGGATCTGAGGGATAGGGAAGGGAGAATAGAGATAGGGGGGGTTTGTAGTCAAAGCAAAATACTTTCTCCTGGAAACCAAGGACATTCCCACACAGACCGAAGAGAGGAAGAGCGATGTCGTCTGGCAACCAGATGGAACAGGGATTGGACCATGTGACTGTTTGGGAAGAGGAAGAAACTTTTATTTAGGTGAAAACCATGTGAATATTCAGAGTCAGTTTTCACCAGCCTATGCCCATATAATACGTCCAAAAAACCAATTCTTTGAGGAACCTACTTTGAGGAATCTGTTTGTTATAGGTGTATTACTTGACATCTGATTCTGCAGGACTGGCGGTGGCCTCTGAGCCACAAACATCTGGATAATCATCAGATGACAGCAAAGAGAGTTCTCCATTCCCTCTTTGTTTCCTCAACATAATTTTATTGCAATTATTAAAAACAAATGCAGAGGAAATGCAAAGATCCTCAGTCATATAGTAAGCACAGTTCAACACAGTGAACTATATTAGTTAATAACTGGTTAATTTCAGAATAATATTGAGATGTATATAAGGAGATGCATTCCCAGGTTAAACATGCCAAATTTATCATGGTTATATCCCAGAATCAAAGAATCTTGGTTATATCCTACTGAGAGACTGGAAAAGCGCATTACCTAAAATAGCACAGAGTGTACCTTACCACTTTTTGAAAAGGTTATTTTTCTACTAATAAAAAAAAATGACTCCATACCTTTTGGCATAGATTTTGTATTTTACAAGTAAAGATACATTTTTATGTGAAATTTGGTAGATTGCTATTAAATGATTAAATGAATATATAGCAAATCTAGGTAATGTACATTAACTTAATATGTTCATTCTCTAGCCCCCCCATTTATTTATTTTTTTGTTTTTATTTGCTCTGATATCATAAGTAAGTTTTTGCTTCCACCTCTGGTAATCATCTGGATTTCTGCAGCTCATGCTTAGTGCTGGAGTGGATTATGGAGAAAAGGAAACAAGTGGGAGTAAAGCTGCAATTGGTATTACTTTGCCCTCCACAGCTGTTCTCGAGTCAGCTATTGTTTCGGGATGCAGAGTTCCAGCAGAGGCCCTGGAGGCCTTGACATCTTCTCAGGGATCACTCTCTGGCTACTCTCTTCTTTTGTGTTTGTAAAGAGGAGAAAAAACAGGCATAGCAAAATTGGGATGTTAAGCAGAGAGATATATTTTGCATTGCTTTGGGGCCAAGCACAAGGAATCAGAATCACATGTGAAGTTCTAGTTCAGAAGATTTATTGCTCAAGCCTCTGCATAAAAATATAGTCAGCTATTGATCAGCACTAAATTGGTGCTAGATAAGGGTCAATGGAATTCAAGGAGTGTGGCAACATAAGGATTCCAGACTTATAACTCTCTTAACTCCACCCCCAGGCGCTGCCTCTTCTTCTTCTTCTACATAGAATCCTACAACCTCATTGAAGTTTAATTTGTGAGTTAAGTCCCATTGAAATACATAAGAGTAGATATGTATGTTTGTACTGTGACCAAAGTGGGACTTAATTATGAGTAAATTGCCGTAGGATTGAGCTGCAGTTCTATAAAAACTTACCTAGAACTCTAGCTGATTGAACACCATTGAGCTAAGTCCATGATGGCGAACCTATGACACGTGTGCCTGAAGTGGTACGCAGAGCCATGTTGCCTGGCACACACGGCGTCACCCATTCCTTTTTCGGGTTTCTGGCGCACATGCGCGCATAACGATCAGCTGGTCTTTTTGCATGTGGCAGTGCCAGAACCTAGAAGAACTGGTCTTCCATTTTCTTGTGTGAGCGTGTGTGCTAGCCAGCTGATCTTTGGGGGTGCATGCAGGTCAGAAACCTTTGGCTAAAACCAAAAGTTCAGTAGCTGAAACCGGAAGTTCATTTTCAGGCGCATGTATGTGCCCTGGTCAGCTCCCGTTCCATGTTGCGGCCCAGGTGCGCGCACACACACGCTCTCTTTTCGGCACTTGGTGCCATCACTGAGCTAAGTCATATGCAGGATTTGACTGATTTTGATTTAAGATATTGAGTGAAACCAGTCAGGGCAGTTTATGAATTGTGACTTGTAGCGTTTTCATGGTTTAGCAAACAGTGGCTTACTGCACTGTGAACTCTTGGTATATTGTGTAAATCCAATCTATGTGATTAATTTATGGTTAAGTGTGCCCGTATAGTTCAACGCCAATCCATAAAATGGGATGTTACTCATCTGAACAACTCATGATTACATTATAGAAAAATGTATTGTAAGAACACAGCCATCATTTCAGTTCTACAACAAAAGGAAATTAGTGAGCTCTTCAGAGCCACTGTATAAACAAATCACCCAGAAATCTTGAGATAGCCATTCCAGAATCAGCTATGGTATCAAACTATGTCCCAAGGGTGTTTTTTTTTTTCCAGATGGCAACTGGACTTTCTTAGTTTTTTTTTTTTTTTTTAAGACGTTTCACTTCTCATCCAAGAAGCTTCTTCAGTTCACGTCATCAAAAGAAAAAACAAGAAAGCCCAGCTGCCTCCTGAAAAAGCACCTTTGGGACAACCATGACCTGGATGACTGAGAATCTCTACAGACTTTTGTATCAAACTATGGTTTGATTAGAACTGTATCTGAGATGTAAAATCCAGGAGACATTTATTTTGCTGCCATCTATTGGTAATCTAGATTTTTGCACCCCAGATCTGTTAGTCTTAGAACCTATTCAGTGTACTGGTACAACATAAATTTCCTTTGTCCTAAAGAATGTTATGCAAAGGGTGTCTCTTTTTCTCTCATGAGAAACAGAAGGAAGAGGAAGAAAAAAAATTACTCTCCTTTGAACACGAAAGTTGGCCTTTTAAAAAATGGTTGAAACAAATGAAGTCAGGACTCCAGAGAGCACCTTAAACCCACTTGCTTCATCGTTTTTCCTGTCCCACTTCTCTGCAATACTGTGTTCTTTGCTCCAGATGGGCTTTTAAGTCAAATCTGCTCTTTTTTTCCCTATTTTATTTTGTGGCGCTCACGCATCACGGTTATTTGTTTGACAACCCCACATCAGAATCAAGAGGCGATCAATAATAAATGACAAAAACGTATTCATGACACCCTAACCTCCCCTGGACAGGAGAAAAATGTTTACGCCGCAACCCTAGCACAGTCCTAGGATCCAACAGCTTATCCAGCAACACTTTGCATTGAAAGGTGGGGGGGGGGATTTTCTGCCAGGTTAAAGCACCTGGAGTAGGATCACCTTCCTAAAATGGTCAGCTCTGACAGTGCCCCAGAAACCCAACCTGTGAATTAAATTTAAAAAAAACACACACACCTGCAAATAATAATAACAACAACAATAATAATAATAATAATAATAATAATAATAATAAACCATTAGCTCCAATGGTATTTGTGATGCATTTTTGAATGTTCAGTTGACTTGAGTTTCATGCTTAATGAATGAAGTAAATAATACTAATACTAATAATAATGAAAAGTCCATTTTCTTTCCGTACTCACCTTCCTGGGGCGCCTCTTTCCCCCCTTTGCTAAACGGCAGGGGTGACTTTTGGAAGGCAGAGTGTGGAATCCCTCGCCCTCGCCCCCGCCCCCCCCTTAAACCACAGCCAGGGTGAATCCGCCAATATCCCCGGAATCGACTAGGGAAAACCACTCGGCCACAGCGGGCCCGTGCAGAAACGACGGATTGCCCCCCCAAAGCCCACAATCAATAACCGCAATGCCGCCGCCGCCCCCCACCTCCTCCTCCTCCTCCCCCCCTTTTGCGGGCTCGGAGGTCCAGATGGTGGAACCGGTCAGCGGGGTAACCGTGTGCGCCCCGGGAGCTCGCGCCGTTCCTGATGATTAATTGATCGCCGGTCGCTAGGCGACCAGCGCTGGGGTTTAAAGTCTCCCCCCCCTCCCCACTCGCCCGTGATCAACACTACCAGCAGCAGCAGCAGCAGCCCCCCCCCCCCTTCCACAATGTAAGCAACGCAGCCTTGGGGTGGGGGGAATGAATTAAGCTTGCGCTGCCCGCTGCAATAATAATACGCGCATCATTTCGACGCAGCGCTGAGATGCAAAGGAAAAGAAGGGCAAGGTTTAAAAGGGGTGGGGGGGTTATGCCAAGGGTCGGGGATCCAGGATAAAGGTATTTCCGCAGCTGCAACAAGAAATGGGGGGGGCGGGAAATATGAAGGCAAAGGGACCCTACTACCCCAGCCCCTGCCGCTTACTCACCCTCTCCTCAAGCCCACCACAGTGCCAGCCCACCGTCCAGGCGAGATTTTTTTCAGAACGGCGAGAGTCCCGGGGGCGCCTCTGGGAATGTGGGTCACCCCCGCAAGGCTTCGAGGAGGGAAGGCAACGGCCGCCCCGCAGACAAGAGTCGCCGCGCTGGGCCAGGTGAGGCGCAATCGCTGCCGGCAGCCTGGAGGACCGGGAAGCCACCCGCTCGGCCCGCCGCCTGCCGGTCAGAAAGGAGAAGTGCGAGGTCAAGGGAGAGCGCGGAGGGGCCCCCCCCGGAGAGCGAGGGTCGGGCCTGGTCTTGTGTGAAGGCAGCCTCCTCAGGGTTTAGGTTCGCTGAGTAAACGGGGTTTAGTAGCCAAGAAGGGAAGCCGGTTGTGCGAACGCAGCCTTTTGCCGACCTGGTTCTGAGAAGAGTCTTGAGTTTGGCCTTCTGCGTTTCCATGCTTCTCTCTCCGGCTGGAAAGCAGCTCGCCTGGGAATACAGTTGTAGTTTGGTAGTTTATTCAGGCACTATTTTTGAGTCTAAAAGATAATTAGCTATTTCCCAGCAGCCTACATTTCCAAGGATTGAATTGAAAATTCTTTTTCAAGGAAATGTCCTTTTCATGTATTTACACCATACAATCCTGGGATAGCCTGCATAGCTCAACAGACTAAAAGCCTGTTATTAACATTCAGCTGTCTGCAATTATTGCATGTTCGAATCTCCCCAGGCTCAAGGTTGACTCAGCCTTCCATCCTTTCTAAGGTAGGTGAAATGAGGACCCAGATTGTGGGAGCAATAAACTGACTTTGTATAAAATATACAAAAGTATGAAGGCTATTGCTTAACGCATTGTAAGCCATCCTGAGTCTCCAGAGAAGGGCGGCATATAAATCTAATTAAAAAAAATAAATCCTAAAGGTGCTTTTTCAAGACGCAACTGGGCTTTCTGGGTTTTTTTTAAAAAAAATATTTTATTTATTTGGTCGAGTACATATTAGATAATATATATAAGTATAAGCATGAACTGAATACATAAAATGAATACAATTAAAGGAAACATTAGGACAGGGACTAATTTAATAAAGAAAAACAAATTTTCTTTGAAGATGTTTCGCTTCTCATCTTCTTAAGCTTTGAAAGAGCTGAAGAAGAGCTGCTTGGATGAGAAGCAAAATGTTTTCAAAGAAAAACCAGAAAGTCCAGTTGCCTCTTGAAAAAGCACCTTTGGGACAACCATAACCTGGATGACTGAGAATCTCCATGGACATTTACACCATACAAGTTGCCCTGTTGGGTTTATATTCCTTTCCCTGAGTACATTAACATTTACCTTAAAATGCTCCTATAGGTAAGAATAAAAGGCCATTTATAGTCTGCAGTGGGATAGAGGTTTTACTTCTACAAAAAATCTGAACTTGGCAGACTTCTCACTGAACTTGCAGTGGTAGAAACCCTTGACTAAATTCACACATGAACACATCTGCAGCCACCATGTGAATGATTTACTTATTAGCAATGCTGGTGCCGTGATCAAAGCTCTAAATGACTTAGTGCACAATAAAGCAGTATCCATGCCAACCATAATATCTAATGAATGGCACAATTAAGCAATCATAATATTTTGATCATAAAACCACAGAACATGAATGGTGAGAACCTAGAAGTCCTTACATACCCAGATCTTTCTATATGATCTCTGAATGCCCTTCAAAAGAGACAGGTCTTCAAAAAATTTCTAAATTCCAGTAGTAAGAGTGAGGAGCGTCTATCCAGTGATGTTGCTGTTTGGACGCAGTTAATGTTTAGTATGGCGTGTAAACAGAGTGAAGGTTAATGCAATGTGTGAATCCAACATTCTGTTCCTGCAGCAGTGAATGGGAGTGCATTACGGGTAGTTCTCAATTTATAATCACAATTGCAACCGGAATTTTGAGTGTAACATGATGCCTTTATTAAGCAAGTCATCATATGATTGGACTTGACTTTATGACAATTTTTTTACTGCAGTTGTTAAGTATATCACATTAAGTGAATCACGTGGTTGTTAAATGAATCCAGCTTCCCCAATTGACTTTGTTGGAAGCTGACTGAAAAGATAATAAATCCTGATTACGTGACTGCAAGATGTTGCAACCATTGTAAATGTGAGCCGGTTGCCATACATTCAGATTGCAATTATTTGGCTGTAGGGTTGTATGACAATCATCACTTCAAGAATAGGTCTTAAGTCACTTAAGTCTGTTATAACTTCAAAATTTCAATCCCAATTTTGATTGTAACTTGAGCACTACCTATAATGGGCTCACGTTCACTGCTGTAGGAACAGAATATTGGATTCAGTAGTTGGGTTCACACATTGGATTAAGCTTTCATTCTGTTCATACACCGAACTAAACATTACATGGGTCTACAAAGCAAGCTCCACTCGACGTATACTCCTCAACTACTGGAATTCAGAAATTTTCTTAATACCAGTAGCATTCTTCTGTGGAGAAATCTAACCCAAGTGTGTACATTTTGCTAAGCCATAATGTAGTTTGTTTTATCTAGGCTTAATGCTATCTGCTTGGCTTATATCTTTGCATATTGTATAGTCAACCCAGTTATCCTATTCCACAAATTGTGGTTTAATTTGTGTATGAATGCAGGCTTCTCCTCAGGGGTGAAATCTAGCAGGTTCTGACAGGTTCTGGAGAACCGGTAGCAGAAATTTTGAGTAGTTCGGAGAACCGGCAAATACCACCTCTGGCTGGCCCCAGGAGTGGGGAAAGAATGGAGATTTTGCAGTATTCTTCCCTTGCCACACCTACCAAGCCATGTCCACCAAGCCATGCCCACAGAACCGGTAGTAAAAAAATTTGGATTTCATCACTGCTTATCCTCCATCAATTCACAACATTGCAAAGCTGGATGCCTGTCCCATATACCCACATTTCCTTTTAGTTGGGAAATGTCATTCTGGTCTTAAGAATCAACAAGACTTTTACCACCCATTGCAGTGCCCCAGTCCTTTAAGTGCTCCATTTATTTTTGCAAAGCTTTTGCCAATAGAACAGTTCAAGGACTGGGCAACCAATTTAGCACCTTAGAAGAAAAAAGCAACTAGGGACTGCTTAAATTCTTAATTAAACTTGTAAGTAAATTAAACTTAAACGCTACTGTGGACTATAGCCAAAAAATACATTGCTTCAATCAATGGGATCTAAGCCAAAAGCCATCTAGGCTTTCAGGATATTCAGCACTTTACAGTGCCTTAACAAGACACACAGATGCAGAAACGCAGGATGAGAAGGGCTTTTGCTGAAACCCACTTGATTACTTGTGGTACCCATGAGGTTGTCTCTTGTGACCTCCATGAAATCCTTGATCTCCAACTGTAGCAAGGAACCAGCTGCTAAGGGGAAAACATTAGTGATAAATGTTGCTAAGATCCTTCAAACACAATGTTTCTTTGAGTTTCCAGAGAGGTGGTTGTGTTAATAATAATAATAACTTTATTGTCATTGTACGTGTATACACAGTATACCCATACAACGAAATTCACTTAACACCCAAAGACCAGGTCCAATACACAAAATAATCCCCAAACACACTCCTACCCACCACAATTCCCCACCCCTAAACCACCCAAACTTCCACACAACAGACCAAGTAATGCTGTCCAACAGCTCACTGATGGTGGCCCTTTAGTTCATTGTTGAGTGCAATTATAGCTCTGGGATAAAAACTATTCAGAAAATGTGTGGTCCGAGTTTTAATTGTTCTGTATCTTCTGCCAGAAGGCAACAGTCCAAAAAGATTGTAAGCAGGATGGGAAGAGTCTTTCATACCAGAAACAAAGTAAACATAAACAAAAATAGATCAATTACTCCTTATGTTATCATAAAGTTATTTATTGGTGTTCTTTTGAAGACACTCTACAGGTGAATTTTGCTACAAAGTGAAGGATATAGGGAAGGACCTGACCGCTTATTCTATCTCTGGAGTTTCCTCTAATCTGATTAGCCAAAACTAACAAGATGATCTAAGGCAAGAACTATACAGTAATGTAAGCCCTAAAATAGTTTTTTTAAAAAAATTCAGATAAGAACAACAAAAAATCAGAACTTCCTAGTCTCATCCATTTTGCACCATCACCCTGCTTTCTGTGGCCCTCACTTTCCCCAAATATGCTGTATGAAGCAAGTTGTCCATTTCTTTATGAAGAAAGAGCCATTTCATGTCATTTGACTAAGGAAGTTGCTTTGGATAACAGAAGGTAGGACATAAAGAAGGAATGCAAAGTGTTAAAAGGCTCCTCTTGCTTCTGCTCCTGCTCTTCTCTTCCTCCTCCTCCCTCCTCCTCCTCCTTCTGTCCCGCAGGTGCAGGGTCCGCTTTTTGGATCATTGAACACCATTTTGCACGATCAGCTGCGTCTCCAGGGCGCAGGCCCACAGCTTGCATATCTTTGTTGATGGTGTCTTGCCATCTCTGTTTTGGACACCCATGAGGTCGCTGGCCACTGACTCTACTTGGTAGGCAGTCTTGGCAACAGTGGAAGGTGCTGCTTTCTGGATATGTCCATATCAGCAGAGCCGGTGTTCTCTCATCTTCTCTATAATTGGTGCCACACCAAAATGCTGTTGAATGGTGTCATTTGTGATGTGGTCAAGAAGGGAGATGCCCGATAATCCAATGGACCATTTGCATTTCCATGGCATGGAGATAGCTTTCAGTCTATTGTTGCTGTTGTTGCTGCTCAGCATTCAGTGCCATACAGTACAACAGGGTGGATGGTTGTCTTGTAAATCTTAGATTTAAGACTGATTGGCATTTGTCTGTCACATAGCACACCAGTGAGTTCTCACCAACACATCCAGGCTGCATTCACCCTTGCTTTCACCTCACCATTGATGACACCATTGCCTTGGAGATGGGATCTCAGATACTGAAAAATATCCACCTTCTTTAGATTTTCCCCATTGATTCGAAGCTTTCAAGGAATGTTAACAGTCTCTTAAGTACTCAAAAAAGGCATAAAAGGCATATACAATGTAGGATTTTATTTGCTATATGTTGCCATCAAGATGTCAGATTTTTGAGATTGGCCAGGTCAAGAAACAGACACACTGGGATTTCAGGAATGCTATTTTATTTCAAAATAGCCTTTAAGGGAATTTTAAAATGACACCTAGGTCAAGCCAGGTCTGTTCTGAATCTTTTTCCCATGCTTTCTACTTTCCCATGATTAATTAGTTTCACTCTCCCATCTCATTTTCAAGGCCAGAGCCAAATTCCCCCATGTAGCTGTAATTCTTTTGCTAGTATTGAAGTAAAATCCAGGCTTTTTGACTACTTTTTATACACATGGAATAGGAAGAAGTTCATTTTTCAGAAATGCACAATAATTGGGTTGGTCTTCATTGTCCCTAAAAGTTCTTCCTGCATTATACTTTTTAATATCACAGAAGAAGGTATTTTTTTAAAAAAAAAAACACTTTACCAGACAATATTTTAATACTGTAATTACATTTTTATACTGTAATACTGTAATTACATTTAATTACATTTGAAATAAATCAAAACAAATTTCTGTATCCAGTAGAATTTGGTATACATTCATATCCATAAGCTTAGAAAAATAGCACATCTCGATTCCATAAAAATGATAAGCTCTTGACTTTTAATCTTGTGTGGGTATTAAACACAACCCATTGTGGTTGCCTAGTATCACCAAAGTACTCTGAAACAATACTAGTTAACTTGTTTCCAGAAAACAAGGAAAACTGGTGTTACACACACTTCTCAAAATATGTTCCCTAGCATAGAAGCCACCATCAAAAGCTCTGTTGACTTGTCTATATGCAATCACTTACTCTATGTATGCTTGCCTTTTTCATATTTTTGTACCTAATGTTATTAATATTATTTTAATTGTTACCCAGAGTTGCTTTGCAGAGTAGATGGGTAGCACATTATTAATTTATTTATTAAAATTACCTTCAGAGAAAAGGTGTCCTCAGCAACTCTTCTAGATGTCTATAATAGGCAAATTTCATTTTGGCAAACAATAATGTACCACTTTGAATAGAATTAAAAAAAAAAACTTTCTTGTAACTTTAAAGATACACTAATCAGCATAAATTAAAATGAAATTTTGTTGCATTCACCTCTCAAAAGATAATGATTATGCATATACCCACATACACACACGACACAGAGAAACATCACAGTCTAGTTTGAATGTATACATATACATGGTGGAAGAAAAAGAATCCTACGAGTTTATAAGACAGATGGCATAAGGAACAAAGCTGCTACAGCATCTAGTAGTCCTATTATAGATACTTCGAAACCTTCTCCCAGAAAGGAGCAACAGAAGCAGACCCAGGGGTGAAATCAAGCAGGTTCTGACAGGTTCTGGGGAACCGATAGCAGAAATTTTGAGCAGTTCAGGGAACCGGTAGCGAAAATTTTGAGCAGTTTGGAGAACCAGCAAATACCACTTCTGGCTGGCCCCAGAGTGGAGTGGGAATGGAGATTTTGCAACATCCTTCCCCCAGGAGTGGGGAGGGAATAGGGATTTTACAGTATCCTTCCCCTGGAGTGCAATATCCTTCCCCCAGGAGTGGGGAGGGAATGGGGATTTTGCAGTATCCTTCCCCTGGAATGGGGATTTTGCAGTATCCTTCCCCTGGAGTGGGGTGGGAATGGAGATTTTGCAGTATCCTTCTCCTGCCATGCCCACCAAGCCACACCTACCAAGCCACACCACGCACACCAAGCCACACCCACAGAACCGGTAGTAAAAAATTTGGATTTCACCACTGAACAGACCATGATGTGGGTGTTATGTGTTATAAGCACATAACACTTATAAGCAGTATCCTGAATAACAGGACATGAGTTTCCTATAATTTTCTCGGCTGTCCTCACTACTCTCTGTATGGACTTTCTGTCTGAGGCACTGCTGCCACCAAACCAAAGTAATGCAGTTTGTTAAAATGCTCTCAATCGTGCCTCAATTGATTCAAAAATCTAGTTTTGAGAAGATTCTTAGCTCTGAAATTCTTCATTGTCACCATAACAAACAGGCAGAATGTATTGTGCTGCAAATATTGCCTGGTTGATACCAGAAAACATGCCAGTTATGATGATCCATGTCCAGATCCTGAGGTGGGCATGGGGGTGTAGGGGGAAACAGGAAAAAAAAAACAAGATTGAAAGGAGGCAATGGGTGAAAGAAGATTAAAAAAACCCACTGGGCTAAAAAAATACATATTGTTCCTTGCTCTTCCTTATCAAGAGAGAATGTGACACCTTGTTTCTATGATTAAAGAAGGTGAGAGACTCTCTCAAAATCCCATACACTTCTTAGATAATCTTGAAATGTGAAAGACAGCATGATGAAAATGTAAAATCAGGTGCTTTATTAGAATGGAAATCATTGGTATTATTCTTTCTGATATTCATTTTTCTTTTATCTCTGTGGAGTTTGTTACAGAGAATTTGCCTTTCTTCCTTTCCTTCCTTCCTGGAAGCAGAAATATAATTTAAATAGGTCACTGCATATTTATTAGACCTGCTTTCTGCCTAGAACATAACTGTACTCCATAAAGAATTCCGTTACTTCCCATAATTTATATAATCCTGTAATTTACATATCCCCAAAGTAGTTCAGGGAACCATTGATTTTAATGAACTGTACCTGACATTACCTTTCCCATTTTAATTAATTTAAATCAGTGGGTTTAAAATAAATCATCTGAGGTAAATCATGCAGGGAATTCAACTGTTTTTGCAATCAAATTGTTTTAATGCAAACTTTTAATGAGGAAGAATATGCTGTAAACATTGCTATCCTATACACATATACAGATAGACTGTATTTGTAGAACATTCTAACTAGGCTAAAACAGGTTTTTTGGTTCATAGAAAAAAAGGGTCTTGAACTCCCTTGAGTTTAAAATTCAGTAGTATCCCCATATTGTTTGTTCAGACTTCTAATCATAGTTTTCTTTTCTGGCAGTGTTCAATCATCTTTAAAATGTAATGTAAACACCAGAACTACTCGGTGTTTTTGAGACAGGGTCTGAATAATGCAAGATATAGTGGAGTTCTGCATAATTATTTCTGGTTTGGGGTCATAACTCAATGCAGCCTAAAATGAAAATTTTCGTTTTAGCAGGGATATCACTTCTGACACATTAGCCATACAGATTGACCACAATTCCAAGACCTTCTTTACACAAAGGTGGGATAGCACCATCCTGTACCTATATATTTTGACACCCCCTCAAATCAAGACGTTCACATTTATATATGGCAATTTCATCGTTATTTTTCATCCTAGTCTTTTGATCTATCAGCTCACTTTTTGTTTACCTGACTTTGTTATCTACTTATACTGTGTGTCTTGGTTCTCCTTTCACCTCTAACCATCTACTGCATTGCCAAGTTTATTCACTTAAATTTCTGAGCAGGAATGAGCATTTTTAACACACAGTGTAATTTCTTCTTCCTTTCTATTATTTCTGTTCCTTTTGAACAACGGTTATCTTTGAGCTGCCATATTCCAATTGCAGAAGTACCCCATTAGTTCTGTTACAGCTTTTAAAACGGAATTGGCTTTTCTTTATTAAGAATTCAGATTCATTTTATTTATCATATTCTCAATAATCAGTAGATATTGGAAATGAGGTACTACTGATAGCAATGTTCTGGCTGAGAAATTCTGGGAGTTGAAGTCCACATGTCTTAAAGTTGCCAAAGTTGGAATACTCTGCTTTTTAAAGGCTTATCGCAGGGTAAAAAAGAAGGAGATCCTTGTGTAATCTGCCTTGAGCTCCTGGAGGAAATAACAAATTGTATGTTAATTTCTAAACTTAAGCAAAAGCATATTTCTATTCATCCAATCATCCTGTGGACAGATAAGAAAACAACAGCAACGGATTATCAAGTAAATAAATCCAGAGTTCTTACATTATGTGCAAACGACCAGGCTCAAATTATCTTATTTTAGATACGTTATGCAAAGACCTAACTTTTTGGAAAAGACTCTAATTAATGCTGGGAAAGGTGGAAGAAAAGAGATTACTAGCGGCAAGGTGAATGGATTCAGTTATTGGTAGGGATGTGCACTATTGGAAGATCTGAAAGGCCAGGTTAGGGATAATTCATCATGGAGAAAATTTACCTATTTAGCTGCTGAGTTGAAAATGACTTCATGACACATAATCAATTAAAGTCAATATTTTGATAGCAACTTAGAAATTGATATACAGGAGAAGTTTAAGGAAGGATAATATCTTATTTTTCTCTATTAAAAAGGTTACCTGTAAATCCATTGAAAAGAAACCAGTATTAATACATTTTAAAATCCGGATATGCAATGAGTACAGTATAAAGCAGAGGATTTCAAACTTGGCAGCTTTAAGACTTGTGGACTTCAAATCCACAAGTCTTAAAGCTGCCAAGTTTGAAGACCTCTGGTATAAAGCTTTAGGAAACGTCTACTAAGGGGTTAAATAGCTGAGCGTTCATAAGCATGATGGGAAATGTAGGCAACGAGGTTCATGGGAATTGCAGTTCTGCCCTCCAACATGGTTGCCTTCTGCTAGGTAAGGGGATACTTATATCCGCAGTGCTCCCTCTTGAATATTTAAAAATAACTAATCAAAAAGTTACTTTTTGCAGGGGAAGGGGGTAGAATTTAGTTTAGTTTAGGGAGATTTCTGTCTCTGGCGTAAAGCCTGTATTTGCATCGGAGCTTTTGCACAATACACGTTGCATTTCCTTTAACTGGAAATAGCAATATTTTGATGGCCAAAGCAAATCAGATTCCTCCAGATAGCTGTCCAAATTTCTTAGCTCATCTGATCTGGTGTGGTTGAAAATTGTAGTCCACTGGATCTGAAAGACGAAGAAGAAATAGTGATTCTATCGGTACTGTGTACTTGTTACAATAGTTGCACTAAGCATCTTTCTTGACAGTAGTTAGAGGAAAAAGTTTCTTTGGTTCTCTTATCCTGCTTTCTCTGCAAATGCTCTTAGGACAGAGGTCTTCAAACTTGGCAGCTTTAAGACTTGTGGACTTCAACTCCCAGAATTCTCATAGCTGGCTGGAGAATTCTGGGAGTTGCGAAGTCCACAAGTCTTAAAGTTGCCAAGTTTGAAGACCTCTGCCTTAGGATATGGTTTTATGTCACCACAGTAAGGCACAAAAATTGAGAATCCTTATTAGCAAGCATAGAATGCTTGCAACACACCTTCTAATCATGGGTTGAGGAAACATGCAAATGCATCCATGGATGTCTGGAGCCCCTTGGGTTTGTATGTGTTTTCTGTCATTTATCTAGATTTATCATATTTTAATTTTTTTACTTGCTCTTTAGCTTGCTTCTTTATTCATAGCGTACTGTTTTGTTCGTTTTATTGAAAGCTGCCCAGAGTAATTGAAAAGTTAGGTGGTTCCTAAATCAAAATATATGATAATTTTTGAAGGGAAAGGGCTGAAAAGCTCCATAAAGGCTCTTCGTTGCCAGGTATTATTTCAGCAGGGTGTTTTTAATAATATGTTAAAGTTATATGCTGCTCGACTTCCTCTAGCCCAGGGGTCTCCAACCTTGGCAACTTTAAGACTTGTGGACTTCAACTTCCAGAATTCCTCAGCCATCTTTGCTTGTGGACTTCAACTCCCTCCCTCAGCTTTGCTGGCTGAGTAAATCTGGGAGTTGAAGTCTATAAGTCTTAAAGTTGCCAAGGTTGGAGACCCCGGCCTGATGCTAATCATGCTAAAGATCTAGTTAATATACAGTATCAAAAGTATCCATTTCTTTCCCTCACTGTAAAGATGTTACTAATATGATATATAAAGCAGGGGTGAAATCCAGCAGGTTCTGACAGGTTCTGGAGAACTGGTAGCAGAAATTTTGAGCAGTTCGGAGTACCAGTAGCGGAAATTTTGAGCAGTTTGGAGAACAGGTAATGGAAATTTTGAGCAGTTCGGAGAACTGGTAGCAGAAATTTTGAGCAGTTAGGAGAACCGGTAGCGGAAATTTTGAGTAGTTCAGTGAACCGGCAAATACCACTGGCCGCTGGCCTCAGAGTGGGGTGGGAATGGAGATTTTGCAGTATCCTTCCCCTGCCATGCCCACCAAACCACGCCCACCAAGCCAGACCATGCCCACCAAGCCACAGAACCGGTAGTAAAAAAATTTGGATTTCACCACTGATATAAAGCTAAGAGTTGGTCTTTTCTCCAGGCAAAAAAATCCTGAAATTCAATACTGGCATTCTTTGATTAAAATGTGTTATTTAGGCACCTGTACATGAGCAGCATGTACTATAAATTTAAAATCTTTCGTTCAATGTGCGTGTTGAAACACAAATAACACTCTTAATCCAGATGTAAAAGAATGTAAACTGTATTTTTCATCCCTATCAGAAAAGGGATTAGTCAAAATTTTATAACCAGTATTTGCTCTGACCACATTTGAAAATGAGTTTTAAAAATCTGATAAAAGTTAATAAAGGGCTGTGTTTATACTGAATTATTTGTTCACCCCAATTTCAATTGCCTCTTCATAGTTCTGTTCTATGTAGTAGTCTTTTCTAGACCTGATAGACAGAGGAAAACAAACATACTGGGCACTGAGTTGTTTGTGTTACGTTATATGTTTGTGTTATGTTTCTATATGAGGATCTAAATGCTAGATACATTTTCCACTGAAAAATACCCATTTATTCAATTACACTTGCCTTACTTATTAAATAATAGTGAAGGAGCGAATAGTGAATTAAATAAAAAGTAAAGCTTGAACTGTTGCTTACATTAAAGATACACAGGCACGTGTATTTATGTTTAAGTATCTGTAGTCTCGAAACTAAACATGCAGAAATTAAATTGAAAATGGTTAGGTGAGAAATGATAAAATGGTGGCATTGCACCATCTGCTGGTACACAAAAACAGTCTTTTAAAATGCTTTAAAGAAAAAAAAGTTATTTTCCTAGTATGAATCCTAACCATATACGCATTTGTTTAGTTTCAAATTATATTTTCAGTGAGGTTTTCTCACAGGTAAACAACCTATTTTATTATAAAACATCAATTTTATAATAGGAATAGAATAGAATAGAATAGAATAGAATAGAATAGAATAGAATAGAATAGAATAGAATAGAATAGAATAGAATAGAATTTTATTGGCCAAGTGTGATTGGACACACAAGGAATTTGTCTTGGTGCATATGCTCTCAGTGTACATAAAAGAAAATATACGTTTGTCAAGAATCATAAGGTACAACACTTAATTTGTACCCTAGTCATAGGGTACAAATAATCAATCAAATCATATTAGGAAACATAGGAACATAGGAAATGGCATATAAGGAGCTAACCTAAATATTTCTATAGCAAAACACATTGAATAAATTAAATAGATTTGAGTCTTTGAATGATTTATTGAGCTTTCATAATTTTTGATCAGGGAGAAAGCAAGGAACTGGCATTTTCATCATCTGCAAAAAAAGTTGTTCAGAACTAATATTTTAATTTCTTTTAATAGAGTTGTAAGCATATCTTTTTGTATATTTTATATACTCTGCTTCTTCAGCCTTGAAAGGCTCCAAAAGATAAAAGAGTTAGTTTGTTGCAGAATATATTCAGTTGCAATAAATCCTAAGGTGTAAAATTCCTTAATAATACTAATCTATAATACATGTATGTGCACATCAATCCTTATAACAATCCTATAAAGTATGCTATTATTTTTATAAATATGAAACTTAAGCAGTGGTGAATCTTGTAAGAAGGTAAAATATTTGAATCAGCTTTGATTTCTAGTCACTTCAGGAACAGATCACTTTGTTTTCTTGAAAACAATACAGTAATCATTTGCCATTATGTTCTGGGATGATTTTTCGATTTTCCAATCTAGGAGATAACTCTGGGATTTCCAGGGGTCTCCCATTCTAATGCTAAGCAGATAAAACTCTACTTGGCTCTTCGGAATTAGCCATGATCAAACCTGCTTCATTTTTCCAGATAGATTCCTGGTCCGTTTGATCTTACAAAATTGTTTACGTGTTACCAATAAAGGCGAATAATTTAGTTTAGGATTGAAATGAGATTTTCATTTGGATTTTAGAGAGCACCAAGGACCTCTTATTGTTTAGGTGTCTTGGCTATAATCTTTATCTTGAGTGGGGCCCTCATATGCATATTCTGATGATTACAAATTCTGCTTCAGGTGGAAAAAGGTAGCCCATGAGCTTTTTCTGATCCCAAAATAGTTAGCTGTTCGTAAATCAAAACTGGTATTGCAGTATATGGAAATAGCCTGTGTTTATTTATTTATTTTATTTATTTTATATTGGATTTCTATACCGCCCTTCTCCCTGAGGACTCAGGGCGGTGTACAGCCAGATTAAAAAACATGCAGAACAAATATTAAAAACAATTAAAAGATATATAAATTTGGCCCAATTAAAACTCATTTACCAATTAAAAACGTTTAAAACATTTAAAAACAGTTAAAAATTTCATCTTAAGCCAGCCCGGCTTGTTTAAATAAATGGGTTTTAAGGGCGCGACGGAAGGCACTGAGGTCTTGGATTCTCCTTATCTCTGTGGGGAGCTGATTCCAGAGGGTGGGAGCCCCCACAGAGAAGGCTCTCCCCCCTGGGGGTCACCAGCCTACATTGTCTGGCTGATGGCACCCCGAGGAGGCCCTCTCTGTGGGAGCGCACGGGTCGATGGGAGGTCGTTGGTAGCAGCAGGCGGTCTCGAAAATAGCTAGGCCCTATGCCATGGAGCGCTTTAAAGGTGATAACCAACACCTTGAAGCGCACCCGGAAGACAACTGGGAGCCAGTGCAGCTCGCGCAGGAGCGGTGTTACATGGGAGCGCCATGCTGCTCCCGCCACTACCCGCGCTGCTGCGTTCTGGACCAGCTGGAGCCTCCGGGTGCTCCTCAAGGGGAGCCCCATGTAGAGAGCGTTGCAATAGTCAAGGCGAGAGGTAACGAGGGCGTGAGTGACTGTGCACAGGGAATCCCGATCAAGAAAGGGCCGCAACTGGCGAATCAGGCGAACCTGACAAAAGGTCCCCCTGGTTACAGCCGTCAGATGTTCCTCCAAGGACAGCTGCCTATCCAGGAGGACTCCCAGATTGCGAGCCCTCTCTGTGGGGGCCAATGACTCGCCCCCAATAGTCAGTGATGGAGTCAACTGACTATATCGGGATGCCGGGAGCCACAGCCACTCAGTCTTGGAAGGGTTGAGCTTGAGCCTGTTCCTCCCCATCCAGATCCGTACAGCCTCCAGGCACTGGGACATCACTTCAAGGGCATCGTTGGGGTGGCCTGGGGTGGAGATGTACAGCTGGGTGTCATCAGCGTACTGGTGGTATCTCACCCCAAAGCCACGGATGATCTCACCCAGCGGCTTCACATAAATGTTGAACAGGAGAGGCGAGAGGACCGATCCCTGCGGCACTCCACAAATGAGAGGCCTCGAGGTCGACCTCTGCCCCCCTGCCAACACAAACTGCGACCGGTCGGAGAGAAAGGAGGAGAACCACCGCAACACGGTGCCTCCCACCCCCAACTCTTCCAGCCGGTGCAGCATGATACCATGGTCGATGGTATCAAAAGCCGCTGAGAGGTCTAACAGGACCAGAACAGAGGAACAACCCCTGTCCCGAGCCCTCCAGAGATCATCAACCAACGCGACCAATGCCGTTTCTGTGCTGTGCCCAGACCTGAAACCCGACTGGAACGGATCTAGATAAGATGTTTCCTCCAGGAATTGCGGAAACTGTCGTGCGACCACACTCTCAACAACCTTCGCCATAAAGCGAAGGTTGGAGACAGGACGATAGTTGGCCAATATTGCCGGATCCAGGGACGGCTTCTTGAGGAGAGGCCTCACCACCGCCTCTTTCAAGGCGGTGGGGAAGTAACCCTCACTCAACGAAGCGTTGATAACACCCTGGAGCCAGCCTCGTGTAACCTCCCGGGAAGCCAGTACCAACCAGGAGGGACACGGGTCCAGTAAACATGTGGCCGCACTAAGTCTCCCCAAAATCCTGTCCACATCATCAGGAGTCACAGCATCAAACTCCTCCCAGATAACATTCTCAAGACTATTCCTCGTCACCCTGCCCTGATCTACCCAGTCAGAGTCCAAATCCCCCCGGATCTGGGCGATTTTGTCATACAGGTATTGTCCGAAATCCTCCGCCCTGCCTTCTAAGGGATCCTCCCGCACTCCCGGATGGAGCAGGGCGCGGGTCACCCTAAACAGGGCGGCCGGACGATTCCCTGATAGTAGATAGTAGTTAGACTTTGCCGTCTCTATCGCCACTAGGTAGGCCTTAATATGCGACCTTACCAGTGTTCGATCAGATTCAGCGAGACTGGCCCTCCAACCGCTCTCCAGGCGTCTTTTCCGGCGCTTCCGGCGTTTGTGGTATAGCACACCCACTGAGTTTTCAGTAAAAGTAGAATTTGGAATTCTGTTTTTTTTCTATGCTGTTTCATATTTTGTTTTTTGTTTTTTACAGGAATCCCATTTTTTGACACTTCTGATAAATTCCTACTTATTCCTTTCAGTATGGAACTAAATGACATCACTCTGCAGAACAAGAAAATAAGCAAAGCAGAAAAGAAGTTGCGGCAAAAACAGATGAAGGCCAGATACACCTTACTAAAGCATGAGGGTATTGAGTGTGTATCATACCCTACTAAGGTGATTAGAAACTGTACTTTTTATGAGGGTGTGCATTCACATACTGTGTTAAGCATATCTTATGATTTTACACAAAATAGGATTAAACCATAGCTGTCTAGATTTGTATAGCATCCTAAACCAAAACTCAAGAAATCACATTACTGTACTTCTTAGTAAGTTGCATGAACCAAGACTGGAGCATGGTTTTATTTGACTATGTGCCATTATCTTGGTATCAACTCTTATCAAACATGGTAAATCTCCAGAATTATTTCTCCAGTCTGATTCTTAAGGTCTTTCAATGCCCATCACCAATGTAAACAAGCCCATCCACCTAGCGTATTGTGTTTTATCCAACAAACTATGGCTTACACTTTGATATGTGATCCAGTTGATAGTTCAAATTGATGCATATATTAAGCCATGCTTTTTAATTGAATGATGGTCTTGTTTGCACAGAACACTATGCTGGAAAATATGAGTTTGCGTGAATCAATAAGTCACTATCTGAGAACCAGTATGATGTAGTGGTTTTGGACCAGAGGCCATTGGCTGACTTTGGCTGATTTAAAATTTAAAATCTCTCTCAGGCAAATCTATATTCTAGGAGGGTGGTTGTGGGAAAAAATTGTAGGAAGGAAAGCGGTACATGCTTCCTTAGGCTCTTGAAGAAAAGTGGGATACAAATCTAGAAGCCAGAAACTAAGAAACCATATTGTGATTATGTTATCCATGAAGAAGGCCAGTAACTTAAATAATGCTATATAGATGTGCACACACTTCATTGGGTAGATGAATATTAATCAACTGAGGTTGAGTAATATTCATTATCAATTGAACATTACTCAATTGATCTTGTGCTACCCAAGTAGCACAAGATTATTTCAAATCCAAAGATTTTATATAGACATTTAGAATTGATCAAAACAGAAGTTCTGTTGGTCTCTTTTTCATTTTTAATTACTGTGTATATAGAATGCTATTTCCAGATGAACAAGCCAGTGTTAATGATTGATATCTATGTCTCTTTTATTCTCTCCTTCATTAGAGTCTGGTTATTGCCAATGGAGGTCTGGGTAACGGTGTTGGCAGATGCCAGTTGCATTCTGTGGTAGAAGAATGTGGACAAGTAGAAAGCCTCTTAATGCCTCCTAATAAGCCCTATTCATTTGTGCAGTATGGAAGGACAACTGACTCCAAGCAAGCCTATGACTCCCTCAATGGAAAGGAACTAATATTAGACAACTCCAGCCAAAAGGTTGTCCTGTACTTCAACTATGTAGAAAAAGGTATTACTGAAGAAGCTTGCTTTTCTACTGTTTTTCCTCAACATGCTGTTGGAGAACTCAGTTCATATCTCATGAAGCTCAGAGAGGCATTGATCAGTTTTGAAAAATTGGCCTGATGGAGCTAACATGAACACTTCTTAGGACCATTTTATCATGAGGTTTTCTGCTAAGCAGATCATAGATTTTCTTTACAATCAACAGTGAAGTAATGAAAGTTAACTTTGGCCAGCTTTCTTAACTTTTCTTCTGCAGATGTGTTGGATTGCAATGCCTATAACATGGGCACTGGCAAGGAATGATAGGTCTTGCAGTCTTCCAAGTTTGACTCACCTTGGGCTTAGTTAATGTTATAATTTTGCTCTAAATGGATTATTTTTTTTCTTTCTACCTGCATTACTTCACAGTATTTGTTGTCTGTTAGCCACAGACTATCAACAAACGTTATGTGTAACAGAGACAATTGATTGCAGTTAACTTCATGTCTGAAACAAATGCCCCAAGTAATGAACTTGATTTGAAAGAATGATCAGAAAAGCGATGACATCTTCAGGTCCTAAACAGAAAATATTTTTGTAGCATAGCAATAGAAATCAGTCTTGTTTCCTGGAGTTCTTTAGTATGTGTCAAAAATTGTTTTGAATATTCACATAGAATTTAAAAAAAAACAAAATTTCATGAATGCTTTTATATTTCCTATGCTACTAGTTCCTTGGGAAGAAATGAGCCCTTCAGTCTTGCCCCCTGGCTTGAGAGTAATTGAAGAATTGGTTTCACCTGAAGAAGAAAAGATGTTGCTGGAAAACATTAATTGGACAGAGGATGAGGTCATTCCCCATGGTATGTTATTCTAACACTACGTAAACCAGATTGTGGGTGTTTTGCTTGTGCCTTAAGTTTTTGAAAGATAGGTGCTATATATATATTAAATTAATAATAAATACATCATGGATTATCATGATATGTGACCTCAACCACATTTGCAGCAGATGATAAAGTATTCTTAGGGACAGTAGAATACCTTGATAATCAATCCACATGGTTTGTTCTAAAGTCCCTACATAAAAAAAACAAAAAACAGACTTGGGCATTAAACCATCCAGAAAATGAGGTAGAGTCAGTGTTTTCCAATTTATTTAAGGTAAAGGTTCCTCTCGCACATATGTTCTAGTCGTTCCCAACTCTAGGGGGTGGTGTTCATCTCTGTTTCAAAGCCAAAGAGCCAGCGCTGTCCGAAGACGTCTCTGTGATCATGTGGCCGGCATGACTAAACGCCAAAGGCACATGGAACGCTGTTACCTTCCCACCAAAGGTGGTGCCTATTTTTCTACTTGCATTTTTTACGTACTTTCGAACTGTTAGGTTGGCAGAAGCTGGGACAAGTAACGGGAGCTCACCCCATTATGCGGCACTAGGGATTCGGACCGCTGAACTGCCCACCTTTCGATTGACAAGCACAGGGTCTTAGCCACTGAGCCACCGTATCCCTTTTCCAATCTATTTAAGTTGCTTTAATGGGACCATTCAAGTGCAGCCAGTAATTTGTAATAGTTGGTCCAAGCCAATTGGAGAGTTCTGACTTGGAGGCAGATTAGGTGGCCAGCTGCAAGAAAGGTTCCTTGGGGACAAGAAAAGACTTTTTGCTGGAGAAATCAGAATAGAGGAATCTGTAGTCCTCCAGATGAACTACAGCTGCCAATGATCTTAGTTCACCTGCCCAATAGAGGGAGAAACTGCCAAGTAACATCTGAAGAGCCGTTGGTTATCCTTAGGTGTGTTGAGAGTATACAGTTCCAAGGACAGTGCAGTCAGCACACAATTCCACTTTGGGGCTTATTACTATAATAGTAATGTTTACCACTGGTGTGTAGTACTTTCAAATGTTCAAAGCATCAGTTCAGTTTCATTGCAGATGTTGGAAGTAGGAAAGCATGACCTTCCTGAGATTACATTGTGAGTTTATGGCAGAAGCAGGGTTTGAACTGAGCACTGATTCATAAGAATGGGATTACACAGGCTCATAACCAATATTGTATTAACAGTTATATTTTTAATCCCTTGTTTCTTTCTATTTCATAGCTCAGAAGTGTTTAAAACATAGGAGGGTAAAACATTTTGGATATGAATTTCGATATGATAACAACAATGTTGATCGAGACAGACCATTACCAGGAGGTGGGTATCTAATCAGAATCTCTTTATCAGTCTTCCTGATCAGTCTTCTAATCAGAATCTCTTTATCCAGTCTTCTGTGAAATGATTTTCATACCAATAAGTAATAATTTCATTATACCTATACAAATGTGGCTGCATTTCTTTTCAGTACCAATGAACCAAATCAGAACCATGAAATTTACAGATAGACCTTGACGTGTGGCTGTAATTGAGCCCAGGATTACAGTTGTAAATTGTGCTGGTTGTTAAGGCGGTCACCACATATCTACATAACTTTATGGCCTATTATGGTCATTATCTGCAATGGGTGTTGTTTGTCGGAAACAGGAAGTAAATGCTGGTTCCTGGAAGAACATTGTAAATCATGGTCTTGTGACTTTGGCACATTGCTGGTAGCCATAAATGCAGGCCGTTTGCCAATGTGATCATGTGACCGTGTGTGTATGTATGTATGGGTGGCCATTGGAACTTTGAATATGGGTTTTAAGTAGTCCTGGGATAGTCTGATCCTAAACCAAGGACTGCTTGGTTTAAATCCATATACAAAATGGGATTGTGTACAGAATTCCCATTTAAGTTAACGAGGATATGCCTAAATATGTTTATAGAGAGGTCAATCTAAGTAATCTTGACCAAACTTTAGACCATGGAATAGAAATATTATATAGTACATAATTTCAAGGGATCATACAAATTCATGGAGGATAGGAGTGGTGCAGTGGCCTAGAGGTGGAGCTCTCGCCTCACAATCAGGAAGCTATGAGTTCGATCCTAGGTAGAGACAGATATTTCTCTCTTTGGGTCAGGGGTGTCAAACACAAAGCCTGGGGGCCGGATCCGGCCTGTGAGGTGCTTAGATCTGGCCTGCGAGTGGATCTCCTGAGCTCCAGTTTCGCTGGGAGAGGGTTGCAGGAAGTCATCACAGCCGAAATGGAGCTTGGGAGCCCATTTTCACGAGCTACTACAGACACCCCCAACACGAGTGATGTTGAGCTGGCCACACCCACCCTGGCCACTCCCACCCTGGGCCTCCGAGGTCAAACACAACCCTGATGTGATCCTCAATGAAATCGAGTTTGACACCCCTGCTCTGGGCACACTGAGAATATATCTGCTGAACAAAACTCCGCATTGGTGACAGGAAGGGCATCCAGCTATTAAAACACTCGGCTAGCTCCATTCAGTTGTCCAGACTCCACCCCACAAAGGATTATGGGGCCGTTAAAAGGAGATGATGATGATGACACAAATTCATGGAGGATATGGTTATCCTGGGGAGCAACAATGAGAAGGTGTTGAACAGCACTGTCTTGTTTGTGGGCTTTTAAAATCTGGTTATTGTGAAAGCAAATTCCTGATGTAGAGCAGTGTTTGGTCTAACCCAGCTTGACTGCTTTGATTAAAGTCATCCACACCTTATCAATTCCCAAGACGCTTTGGGGAAAATCATAGCACTTTACGTGTTATAAAAGTAAAGGTAAAAGTTTCCCCTGTCCAGTCGTATCTGACTCTAAGGAGTGATACTCATCTCCGTTTCTTAGCCAAGAGAGGCAGCGCTGTCCAAAGACGTGGTCATGTGGCCAGCATGGCTACACACCAAAGGTGCACAGAACACTTGTTACCTTTTACTTGCCTTTGCATATTTTCAAACTGGTAGGTTGGCAGAGCTGGAGCACATAATGGGAGCTCACCCCATCGTGCTAGGGACTCGAACCTGGACTGTCAGCTTTCCAACTGACAAGCTCAGCGTCTTTAACCACTGAGCCATCGCATTATAGAAAGCTGCAAATAGTACTGGAATCCATTCTATTTTTCAATTCAAACTTTATTATATGTTTATTTATTTTATATAGTTTCTCTTACAAAGAATTTCTGAGGGGACAAAAAAGAGGCAAAAATTTATCTTTGTTTTGAAATATCAGGTCTCCCAGATTCTTGTACCACAATTCTTGCAAAATGTCTGAAAATGGGATACATTAACCAGAAACCTGATCAACTGACTGTAAATCAGTATGAACCTGGACAAGGTATGTACCTGGGTTCTATATCATCCTCACCTGATCTTCTGGGATCAGATTTTCAAGTATTGTAAATCCAGCTTTGGGGGAAAATGTTCAGTATGGAGATGTGAGGAGACTTAGGGGAGTTGGCAGTTCTTAGATATAAGGATACGTTCCCATGACTGTAACATAAACACATGTATTCTGTATTATTAAGATCATAGAAGTGCCACCTTTTATTAGTTGAGATCAGCCAGCATGGACCATTGTAACGCTGTACTTTTAGGCTACCCTAAATATCAGACTTCATATCTTTTACAAGCCTGCAGATTCTTTACTGCCGATTTAGAGTTTTTGGCCCATAGAAGGAAGAAAGGATAAAATAAGCATATGCTCTGCATTACTGGATGCTAAACATATGACCATATAATCACAATAATGTGCCCGTTTGGGCAAGAAATCCGTATCTGCTTTATACGATCTATTGCCCACCATTTTGTGTATCTTTGTTCCCCAAATAAATGTCACCTGTAGAGAATTGCAGTATATTCTTAGGTACTACACTATATACCAGAGTAGGACTAATGATGAAGAAAGGCTGATTGATTTCACTTATTCTTTATTTGTATGTTTTTATTTGATATTATAGGAATTCCTCCTCATATCGATACTCATTCTGCTTTCGAAGATGAAATAATATCTCTAAGTTTAGGAGCTGAGGTAATTTAAAAAAAAAATCTTTTAAATATTTCCTCTAGAAGTTGAAAGCATATTAATTTGTATTTGTTACTTTATCTTGTATCTGTTCTTTGCAGAGCTTGTACTTCCAGTAGGTAAGACATTTTTCTTGAAAAGGCATTTTCTTCCAGGCTTGATTTTTCTGGAGTGAACACGATAACTAGAGAAATAGTTTACTGTAGGGGTCTTTATAATAACTCAGGAACATTCTTCCCAATGCGGTATCTTCTGCAAATTGTAGCCCCAGCGTATCTGGAAAGAGCAGGTTTGGGAAGACAGGTAATGATTTCACACCTCTTATTTAACCATAGTTTCGTAAACTATTCTGTAAGATTACATCATCATCTTTACTAAGGTCAATAGCGTTTTAAAGTAGGATTTGAATACCCACATATATGGAAGTTAGCCCTTTTTCAACTCAGTGGGATGACTCCTCACATCCTGGACATAAACTGTTTCAACTTCTACCCTCAAAACGAAGCTCTAGGCACCGCACACCAGAACAACTAGACACAAGGACAGTTTTTCCCCGAACGCCATCACTCTGCTTAACAACTAATTCCCACAAGACTGTCAAATAATTTACTAAGACTGTATTACTATTATTCTTCTCTTCCTTATTAGTATCTATCTCTTCCCACTTATTACTATAACCATGTTGTTTGTATCGTTCAATTTATATTGTTTTTATTTGTTTCCTAGTACGATTTGATAGCTTATTAGTAACCTTGACTATCACTAAGTGTTGTATCTTTTTATTCTTGATGAATGTATTTTATTCTCCTTATATACACTGAGAGCATATATACCAAAGACAAATTCCTTGTGTGTCCAATCACACTTGGCCAATAAAGAATTCTATTCTATTATAACGTTGTACGTTATTAACTGCATATCCATGCATCCATCCACCCCTCCCTCTATGGAATATATATTTGGAAATCCTACCAATGTCTGGAAAGGACTGTACTAAAAGACAGTACTCAGACATTGATTATAATAGTACAGGAACAGGCACTAAGCATCAGATCCATAGCAGCAGGGTTCTACCACACTAGACAGAACCAGAGGGGCAGCCTGTGTAGACAGGTCTCAGATACAGCCCAACACATAGTGGCAGAGTGTAAGATGTAGGCCGGAACAGCATAGACAGACGGGTACAATCAAGTAGCTGGCATTGTGCACTTTTCCTGAATTTTTTTGTAAGCACATTATTGTCTCATTATTGAAATGAGAGAGCAAAACCAGATTACAGTTCTTGGATTTGCTTTCAGGACATCAAAGTCTATACAGCTTTCTTAGTTTAGCTGTTAAGCTATCTTGGCCCCATAGCAGAGTAGGAATTCTGCAAGTTGCAGCCCCACCATATATATTGTGTATTCTATTGAGGCAATATATTTCTATTTCATATATTTGCTGACAGCTCATTTCTGAGGGGAAAAAAGTCCTGCTGTTCTTAAAAATAAGTTGCCTAAGGAGGAAGGGAGATTTTGCTTTCTCTTGTCTTCACCCAGGAGCCATCCTGCCTCTATCAGTTGAATTTTTAATGCAAGAAGAGAATTTCATAGAAGTATCTCTGCTGCCAGCCGAGCTCCTGCAGGGAGCCATGCCTAAGAAGCCTTTGTAAATGAGAAGTTATGTTATTCTGCTATTTTATACGTTATTTATAAAATGTTCCTGGCATTGAAGTATTTCCCCCCTCATCTTTGTCCACCAGGGTCAGAAACTTTTGGCTTCTTGTCTTTCTACTTCAGTTACGTAGACTGACATTGATGTATAGAAAAGAAAACTTGAAGTGCAAAAGAAGGAGAACCTGAATTATTACAAAGACGAGGTACACTGCAGCCAAGCATTGTCTTTAAGTTGAATAGGTCTATCAAGTTCCATTTTGTCCTGTCTCCAACCTTCCCTTTTTGGGGGATGATTGTTGAGAAGGTATTCACACTGTAGTTTCACAGGATCTTGGAGGAAATGGATTATCTAGATCCCTTTCAATTGGGTTTCAGGCCCTGATATGGGACAGAAATGGCATTGCTTATGCTTTTTGATGATCTCTGGTGGGAATGAAACTACTCCCTTCTTGATCTATTTGTCCTTTCAGTGGCTTTTGATAGCATTAACCATGGTCTGGCTTCAGGAGCTGGGAACGAAGGGCACAGTGTTGTCCTAGTTTGCCTCTTTCTCCATGGCCGGTCCAGTCAGTGTTGATTGGGAGCAAGAGGTCCAGCCCTTGGCCCTTGCTTTGGGGTTTTCCACAGGAATTGGTGTTCTCTCTGTTCCTGTTCAATATACACCTGAAACTACTGAGTGAGATATCATCAGTATGCTAATGATTCTCAGCTATACATCTCTGGTGAGTTAAGTGATGACATGATTGCCCTTTCCCAGTGTCTGGAGGTTGTTGAGATCTGGATGGGAAACATCAGTTTAAAAACTGAATCCTATAAGACCGGAGTAGCTTTGGGTATGGAGCTCTTTGGTTCTTGAAGAATTACTGTCTTTGGTCATGGATAGGGTTACATTGCCCCAGATGGATCAGGTGCATAATTTGAGGTTCTGCTGGACTTACAACTCCTACTTGAGAAGCAGGTGGCATTCATGTGCATTGTGCTCCAGCTACACCCATTCCTGGACCATCATAGCCTAGTCTCCTCCCAGTTGAACTATATTGAAATGTGCTTTACATGGGTCTGCCCTTGAAGAGTATCTGGAAGCTTCAATTGGTCCAAAAAACAGTTGCTCACACAGTTCTGCACAAGCCTGGATCTGTGAATGTGTCATCTCTTCTGCAGTAGCTGCCTGGGTTTCTGATTTACTTCCAGGCAGATAAATTCAAGGCATTTATCTTATCTTATAAAGGTCTGTACGGCTTGGGGTGAGGGCATTTGAAGGGCAACCACTCCCCAGTTACGTCTTTTCAGCTCGCCAGAATGGGAAGGCTGGGTATGTTACAAGTCCCATCAATTAAGGAAATACACCTGGTGGGACTTAGAAGAAGGACCTTCTCTGTAGTGGTTGGAATATCATTTCCCTGGAAATAAAGTTAGTTCCCTCCTTGCTAGTTTCCTGAAAGGCCCTGAAGGCATGGTTTTGTCAGTGGGCCTGAGGACCCCTGGTTAATTTGGAGCTGAACAAGAGGCTTGTATGATTGTGTTTGTCACTGCTGTAGGGTGAGGGATGAATGTCAGATGTTTCTATATTGTTGCTTTTTAATGTTGTAGGCTATCTGGAGCCACTGTATGATTTGTAGGGGGGGGGCATATAAATCTATTTTTCAATAAATAATCCAAAATATCCCAAGTACAGGTTGTAAGTTGACCTGTAATAGATAGTTTTAACTGAGTTTAAATAAAATCACATAAAACTGAATTCAACCCTTAATTTTGGACCCTGGCTGGAAAGTAGAGTAGAAAGGAACCTTAGACCAGGTTACACTGTTGATCCATCTGCTTTGGATGCAGTTCAGGTTTTTAACCTGACTTCCCATCTATGATGGTAAACAAGCCCTTCCATTAAAAGGTGGTAAAAAGCACTATTTATCCTCATGTCAGAGAAAAGGAACATGAGAGTAGTTCAATAACTTTGAAGAAGTCTTTAGGAAAACAGCATATTATAGCTAGACTTGTCTATCTGGTCATTATCAGCAAAAGCAATGCAGGTGGAAAGAGAATAGCATTAAAAAAAAGCCTTCCACTTTAAATTAGTGGTTTTCAGACCATTTGCCTTTAGGAAAGCCTTTATAGATTCATTGGCCTGTCAAATCAAATCACCTCTTCAAGCTACAGTCTGTTCTTAGCTCTACTGCTCTGGCATTTCAGGTTGATGATTATCCTCGGGGAATTGGGATTGTCAGTGATGAGCAGCAGTTTAGGTGCCCTTGTCAAAATTATTTTCAGTGGGACATCTTTTGTAAAGGGATTAGAACATGCTGGTTAAGAGTTCTTGCATGTTTCCTGCTTGCCTCATGTAGGCTGCATGAAAAAAAAATAAGCCTCTTCAACAGTTTTCAGAGTAGAGTATGTACCTCATCTCAGCAGGCTATGAAACTGGCTTTGAAGATGAGATTCAAGATTAGTTGCATGGAATATTTTTCTGTAGCATCACATAAAGTCTGTGACTGGAGCATACGAAGCCCCTGAAAACCTTGCTTGAACATAGTGCTTGGAAACCTCTGAAATATGTTATCAAACTAATTTTAAAATAGCAGAAGAAGATACATGACTGAGAATAATCACATTAGCCACATTTAATTTTAATTACTTTTAAAGGTATGTTAAATTAATGTTATTTTTTTTAAAATTTGATTTATATGCCACCCTTCTCCGGAGACTCAGGGCGGCTTACAATGCGTTAAGCAATAGCCTTCATACTTTTGTATATTTATACAAAGTCAGTTTATTGCCCCCACAATCCGGGTCCTCATTTTACCTACCTTAGAAAGGATGGAAGGCTGAGTCAACCTTGAGCCTGGTGCGATTCGAACTTGCAGTAATTGCAGACAGCTGGTGTTAATCACAATGCTTTTAGTCTGCTGAGCCACCAGGCCCTTATCAATTATGCTAATTGTTTGGCCACAGAAGGTAGCTCCAGGCCAGGGGTGAAATGCTACTGGTTCAGACCGGTTCAGGCAAACCTGTAGTAAAAAAAATGCTACTGGTTCAGACGAACCGGTATTTCCGACGATCAGCTGTGCCGCGCAATTTATATTAGATAGAAAGCAGGAAAACTTCCTTTCTAGCGAATCTAAATTGCGCGGCACAACTGTTCCCCCCTTGCTGTTCTACTTACCTTAGAAAAGGCTTCTTAATCCTCTTTTTTTCAGCGCTGCGTGGTAGCGCCTGCAGTGCGCATGCACGCGAAGCACACATTTGGTGCGCACTGTGCATCCGCGCATGCAGCAAACCGGTAGCAGACTTCAGAGCATTTCTCCCCTGCTCCAGGCAAGGTACTCAGTGCTGGATGCCTCCCTTGGTCCAGAAAAAGATGCACATCACTTTTGTAAGAGTTGCTAAATCTTTCAGGTTGACAAGTCTTTTATATTGCGTAAAATAACATCAAGAGTTGTCATTTCATGTGCCACAAAGCAAGATGCAAAATTATTATTTAAGTTATAGGAAGGCAGATTTTGGTCGCATGTTAATAGAATTTTTTGTCTAATAGTAAGAACAACAAAAGTCTGTATAGTCAAGGCTATGGTTTTCCTAGTTGCAATGTATGGTTGTGAAACCATAAGGAAGGCTGAGCGCCTGTATGGTTGGACCATAAGGAAGGCTGAGCGCCAAAGAATTGAGGCCTTTGAATATGGTGCTGGAGAAGACTCCTTGAGTCCCTTGGACTGCAAGGCGATCAAACCAGTCAGTCCTAGAGGAGATCAACCCTGACTGCTCTTTAGAAGCCCAGATCCTGAAGATGAAACTCAAATACTTTGGCCACCTAATGAGAAGGAAGGACTCACTGGAGAAGAGTCTAATGCTGGGAAAGATCGAGGGCAAAAGAAGAAGGAGACAACAGAGAACGAGGTGGCTGGATGGAGTCATTGAAGCAGTCGGCGTGAGCTTAAATGGACTCCAGGGGATGGTAGAGGACAGGAAGGCCTGGAGGAATGTTGAATATGGGGTCGCGATGGGCCGGACATGACTTTGCAACTAAGAACCACAAAGAACAATTCATTCATAGTATCAATTACCCAGAAATGTAATGAGTTTCTTTTCATTGGATATGCCCAAGTGAAAGTTAGACAACAGGTTAGGAACTTCAAGAGGGGTGGATTTCAATTCCCATAATTCCCCAACCCCACAAGCAGGAGTTGAAGTCCAACCTTCTTAAAGTTTCTGAAGTTGAGAAATATTGATATAGTTACTGGGGTTCTTCCTTATTTGTTTATCCTTATTTGTAATGTTAATAATAATAACTTTATTGTCATTGTACATGTATACATAGTATACCCATATAATGAAATTCACTTAACTCCCAAAGACCAGGTCCAACACACATAACAATTCAAAAACACACTCCCACCCACCACAATTTCCCACCCCTAACCACCCAAACATCCACACAACAGACAAAGTAATCCAACAGCTCATTGATGGTGGCCCTTTAGTTCATTGTTGAATGCAATTATAGCTCTGGGATAAAAACTATTCAGAAAATGTGTGGTCCGAGTTTTAATTGTTCTATATCTTCTGCCAGAAGGCAACAGTCCAAAAAGATTGTAAGCAGGATGGGAAGAGTCTCTGAGAATGTTATGCAACTTTCTCAAACAGTGAGATTCGAAGATGTCGTCCAGGGCTGGTAGTGGAGTCCGATGATATTCTGGGCAGTTTTAATGATTCTCTGTAGAGCTTTTTTGTCCACTACAGAGCTGCTCCCATACCATGCAAGAATGCCGTATGTCAGGACACTCAATGGTGCTGCGATAGTAGGACAGAAGTAGGTGCTGAGATAGATTTATCTTCCTGAGCATTCTCAGGAAGTACAGCCTCTTCTGTGCCTTCTTCAGAAGCATGTTAACATTCATAGTCCATGAGAGGTTCTTCGAGATATAAATGCTCAGAAATTTAAAACTACCAACCCTCTTCACCTCCTCACCATTTATGTACAATGGTAAATGTACATTTCTCTTCCTCCTGAAGTCAGTTATAAATTCTTTAGTTTTTTTGGTGTTAAGTATTCTGTATTCTGTGTTTGTGGGAAATCCATGGATTGCTCTTCGCATGTCTCTAATTGCACATTTTTCACAAGGCCAGAATTATTGAGCAAACTCTCAGATTAATGCAACATTACTGACTGAATTCATTGAATCTTTTAGCATGCTATAATTAGAAAGTCTACTTTTTATTCATGTCCCAAATCAGAATACCAAATATGAAGCACATTTTTAAAACAAGAAAAAAAAATAACCTTGTAACATTTTGAAATACTTCAACAATGGGTGAGCCATTTTGTCTTTTCCTCCCTGCCTCGAAGCTGAATAAATGTTAAATAAATATTCACAGATTAATTGACCGGCTATATAATAACTTAATATTGCCTTTTACATACCTTGGATTTATTTCTGTTGTCCACCTCCACTTACTACACCACTGTTTGTCATATTGCTGATTCGTTCTTAAAAATAGGGGGCTTTATGTAACATTCATCCGGTGTGCGCCTTCACCCTTGGTGACGCTAGCTGTATATAATGAGCGTACATCATATGCTAATTACAAGCTTTTCTGCTGCCAGTATTGTGGGAAAGGAGCAGAAAACATTTCCAGTTTTCCAAAGATACCGATATTAAAATAATTGACTACATCCTCGTTCACACTTGTCACTTTAGCTCTAGTGGTGGGTTTTTATGAGGAACTGCATCTTTTTGACTGAGATCTATCCTGGGGTAAAAGAAAAGCAGGTATCAGTTGCTAGGCAACTACTGGATTCTAGAGTAAAGATGGGTATCAAATGTTTCCTAGCAACCATGATGAGATTTCTCCTCCCCTTTAACCAAGACGTGTGTTTGACTGAGTGTTACCTTTATTTGTTACCTCCATTTTGTTCCTCAGAGTGATTTCTAAAAGTACTTCTAACATGGATGGGCAATCTGTGACCTGCAGATGTTGCTAACCTCCAGATTCTCACATCTTTTACTGTTGGTACAGCTGATTGGAGTTTCTTTTAGCACCAACTGAATGACTCACCAATTCTCCAGGCTTGGTCTAATACTTTACCAATTAACATCTAATTGGCCTTCCTCTTTTCTTCCCTTTTCATTTGACATTTTAAATCTGTTTTTTCATTATCTCTTTCCACACTACTTCTGTGTTTGCTTTATTCTTTAAATAAAAGACTGAAAGTTCTGGTACCTTATAACGGGTGTCAAACTCACGTCGTCACGTCGTCACGTGACGTATCGTGACTTTCCCCCCCTTTGCTAAACCGGGGGTGGGCATGGTCAGAGCATGACACATCTGGCCCGTGGGCCGTGAGTTTGACACCCCTGCCTTATAATCTTATTTCTAATGGATTTTCATTTCTTTGTCCTTCCACTTAGTCCCAAAAGTTCTATACACAATGCCTTTTCCATTGTGTAAACTGGGCTTTTTTTTTTTTTTTTTGCAAATTAAGGGGATTTATTTTCTTTTTTAAAAAAATCAAAAATAATTTTAATACATTTTAATCAAAATCCCCTTTTGCCCCTTTTCTATTTTTGGAAGATCGATACATGGAGCATGAAAAGAGACTGCTGGTGCTTGTCAGAAATTAACAGCTGCCAAGGTGAACTGTGGTGCTTTAGCAAGGAATATATTGCAAGTTCAGTAAAGTCTCTGATCAGGAGTTCAATAAGGGGGGAGTAATTTCATTTACCCTGTGATGTCATTCCCCTTTTGTTATAGGAGTCTATTTTAAGGCTCGCAAGTCTCAGTTGCAAAGTTTTCTGCCTGTAGATGAAGCTGTGGTATTAAAAATGCCAGCAGGAGGCACAGTTGGTCTTTCAAACGATGAAAATTCAGAAACCAACCAATTATTGCAGTATCTAATTGTTTTACTTTCTTGGAAGTACTTCTCTACCTCAAACTGCTATTGTATTTTCTCGTTTTTCAATATGCCATCACTTTTACTTCTATTAATTGAGAAAGAAAAAGAGCTTATATATACATAGTGGAACACAGTGTGTCAGAGTTGCAAGTAACATACCTATAGCAAACAAAACTCTGAGGCAGGCAATTTCCCCAAAGAATAGGTTTATTGAATATGTCATATTGGCAAAGGCTGGTGAAAAACGACTCTGATTCTTCCCACAGTTTTCACTTAATTAAAAGTAAAAGTTTGTCACTTTCTCAAAACAATCAGTCACATGGTTCAATCAAGATACTGTCCAGTTGCTAGGTGACTCCAGTCACTGCTTTCCACTTGCAGAAATGTCCTTGGTTCCCAAGAGAAAGTATTTTGTTTTGACTACAACACCCCAGCTATCTCCATTCCCCCCCTCCTTATCCCTCTTCTTCAGTGTCTCAGCACTGAAGTCTCAAAATGGCCTCAGTCAGGCGAGCTTCAGGGTTGACACAGTGCACAGTTCCAGTACTCATTTTATTTTACAAAGGCTTACAAATCTCCTAGGAAAATGAGATATTTTAGGAAATATTAAAAGGCAGAATATTTCCCCTAAAAGGGAGGCAGAAATTCAGCCCCCCCCCCACCTTTGTTAATGGGCCATTAAGGCCTGGGCCAGTCTATTCTACATAACAAAGATCTACCTCCTTCAAGCAAAGCCATAGTAGGAATTACCCAAAGCCCCTTCATTACATCATCACCCAGAAAGGCTCAACCAAGGGACTCAATACACAACCTACAGAGTTATCCCTGCATGGCCCCAATTGAGTCTGACAACCAATCAGAATACAAGCTCAAATTTAAAGCTGGACAGAGGGTATAAATCTCTTTCTCTCTTGCAACCATGTGCTTTTTGCCCAGGACCTAAAACAATGTGGTCCTGTCCACCATTAAAAACCATCTTTCCAATCAGCCACCATGTTTCCGGTGTCTTTCTGCTTCTGATGTGAAATGTGTAAACATTCTTCCTTATCTAGATACTTAAACTGGCCCTCTGGATAGAGGCCCAATTATCCCACTCAAATTGTACATATAAATTCATTCTGCATTCAAAAACATGGTGATTGACATTTCTGTGTTAATCCACATTTATAAGAAGAAAAGGTTCACTCACAGATTGGATAGTTTCCTTGAATGAAACTTTTGGTAGTTGCCTACAACTAAAAGTCATTTATTTTGAAGTACAATTTGTAGAATTCTCTACGACACGACTAAATGAATGAATTCTACTTAATTGTAAGTCTACGTAATAGAATCTGGCAACTACAAAATACCAACTTCCCACTTTTGACTGCATGAACCATTTGGGTGGGTCTTTCCTACGTTTCTTTCTGTGTCTGTTAAGCTACTGGGGGCTCCTGACACTCTTATCTGATTTTGTCCTTTCTCTTTCCCTTATTCCCCTAAATCCTCCACACATTGCATTGCAATACCATACCTTAAGAGCAAAAACAGACATGTTGTTTCAAACATGACAAGGGATGTGGAAATGAAGTCTTATGAATAGGGACGAAGTGGAATTTGATATATTTATCCTTGAAAAAAAGGCAACTGAAGAGCAATATGGTAGCACTGAAAGAGTGCCATACAGGAGATCAAGACCTGTTATTTATTACCCTGGAAGGCAGGATATAGAATAAAGTTCTTAAATTGCTGTAAACTTCCTAATAGTAAGATCTATTGTATGGTGGAACTAATTGTTGCTGCCAATGTAGTTAATTAATATTTCAAGAGCTATGGTAGGATTATTTCTCTCTTGTAGCTTTTTGTAGCTGTTTCTGTTATACGTACCACCAAACGTTGCTATGGGGATTAAGTAGTTATTAAATAAAATCAATTATCAAAAGAATTGGTGAACTCCCATTCAAAAGCTGATTGATGTTGGATATGCTTTAATTGGGATTCTTGCAGTGAGTAGGTGGCTATGTGGTCTCTATAATCTCTCCTAACATTCTGATTCTGTGATTCATCTAATATTTAATCAGAATCTGCTTCCCTGCAGTTTCTACGTTGTTTTTAATCCTGCTCTTAACAATAATTACCAAGAGGTCTGTTTCATTTTTGTGTGAAACTCTTTCAGATTTTTAAAATTGTAAGTTTAATTGGTTCTTTTTACCCAGCTATAATAATAATTAAATAAATTTATTTCTAGAGGTTCAGCAATAACAGTTTCATAAATCATAAAGGAGTGTTGTGAGATTATAAACAACAATAGATTTATTGTTGCTTTTTGGATTGTATTCTAGTCATGTAGTAGCTGATAGGAAGGGATAGGAGTTATTGTTCTTATACAGATTTGTTGAAAATATCAGGTCAAGTGAGAGGTTTCCCATCTCTCTGCTTAATTTACAACTCAATATGTGTTCCGGTATTGTTAAAGACATCAGCCAAAAAAAAGAGACTAAACTGCATTAAATAGTTCTTGCTTGTAGAATTAAAGTGAGTTAGACAACTATGAGAGTCTTTTATCTGAAGCAGAACATGGGCAGTTAGTGAAATCTAATAAACCGGACTATGCTGGAAGCCTAAGTGAATCATTGGTCTTGAAATCATAAAAGGTGCCCACGGCCTGCATTACTTTTCCTGGAGGGATTAAGTTCTTGATATACCAGTCAGCCTGAAAGATCAAGAGACAATGAGCACCATTAAGTTCTCTACCCCAGGAGCTGAAAGTTCTTGGCAATAAGCTTGCAATAACAAATATTTTGCATGGTAGGGAAACTAAACTCATTCTAAATAGGTTGGACAGGGAAGAAGGAATAGCTCTTAGCCTTGCATAATGGAAATTTTGGATAATGGATAGTAAACCGTGTTGAAGTCATGTGGAGGATTACATCCCGTTGGCAGATATAATTTTATCCTTCCAACCATTACTTAATCAGAAGGAATGTGATAATATTTACAAAATACATAACTATGGAACTTTCCCTAGAATTACCGTGTTGCTATGAAACCCATTTGGTTAGATTTTTCTACCTAAGGTCATTTCAGTTGAGCCTTGGAACTTGTAATCCTAATTATGTGATTTATTGCTTTTATATCCACCTTTTCTTTTGGAGCACACGGAAATGTTCAAGTAAGTCATATAAGCATGCTAAATTTCCTCTTTTAGGTTGCATTGTGATAGACCCAGAATCACACTGTAAGATAGATGATCCGATGGAGTCTTTAAATTGTATCTCCCCAATTCATATCCAATTTCATATCCATTCCACTTCACTCTGCTGGATCTCAGAACCATCATGTCTTACTGGGTATTGAACTTACACCCTCAATAACTTTTTTTTTTGGCCTACTGAGTCTTGTTCTTTAAACCCCAGGCCTTTCCTGGAGTTACCACAACAGTTAAATCAAAGTTAATGGGAAAAGATACCCTGGCTTATATTTTTCTCTTGATCAAGATGAATATGAATATGTAGTGCAATTTCCGAGAGCAAAACATCTTTATAGAAACTACCTATATTAGATATAGACTATGGTTGAAACATTTGATTCCATCCTCTTATTTTAAGCTCATTGTGATAAGTGTTCTTTCTCTGGATTTTGCCACTGGTACCTGAGACAAAATGTAAATTGGAATAGCATTATGACAAAATGATTATGTACAGTTGTGAAGATATGGTAATGAAACAGAATTGGAGAACTTTTGGATAGTTAGCTCATTTTGAGAGCAATCTAAAGGCAATAATAAGTCTTGATAGAAAATTTAAAAGCTATTTGAAGGCTTATGTATATTTCCTGATTCAAAATGGTTGGAAAAATATGCTGCTGTATTTCAGAGGCAGGCGTAGTTCTCATTTAGTGACCATATTTAGAATAGAATAGAATAGAATAGAATAGAATAGAATAGAATAGAATAGAATAGAATAGAATAGAATAGAATAGAATAGAATAACAGAGCTGGAAGGGACTTTGGAGGTCTTCTACTCCAACCCTCTGCTTAGGCAGGAAACCCTACACCACTTCAGACAAATGGTTATCCAACATCTTCTTAAAAACTTCCAGTGTTGGAGCAACTTCTGGAGGCAAGTTGTTCCACTGATTAATTGTTCTAACTGTCAGGAAATTTCTCCTTAGTTCTAAGTTGCTTCTCTCCTTGATTAGTTTCCACCCATTGCTTCTTGTCCTACCCTCAGGTGCTTTGGAGAATAGCTTGACTCCCTCTTCTTTGTGGCAGCCCCTGAGATATTGGAACACTGCTATCATGTCTCCTCTAGTCCTTCTCTTCATTAAATTAGTTGGGTTTAGGAATGGTTGCTAAGTAAAACCATGACTGTGCCTATGATCTTACTTCAGTTTTCTGTTGCTTTGCATATTTGCAAAAGTCATAATAAATATGGGGGTTGATTGCAAAGTTACTTTTTGATCACTGTCATAACTCTGAACGGTTCCTGTGTGAGGCAGTCACTACCTGCATTTCTGTATTAAATCTATCATTGTGTGGGTTTTTTTAAAAAAAAAAATCTTCAAGTTGCAGTTGGATGAACAAATGCTATAAAAACTCTACCAAACAGATAAAAAAATTGAAAGAACATTACATCTAACTAAACTAAACATTAACTAAAACTATTTAAGTTACATAATTCTCCTACTCTGTGAAAAAGGCTTTGCTGAAAGAGAATAACTGGCCTAAAGTCATCTAGTGATCTTTAATAGCTATCATGGACTTGAACCATTGGTGAAATGTAAAATTTGTTACTACCGGTTCTGTGGGCGTGGCTTGGTGGGTGGGTGGGGTAATGTGATGGTGGGCGTGGCCAACTTTTTTTTTTTTAACTTTTAAAACCATTTTTTCTACAACCACTTCGGCTGAAGAGGTTGTAAAAAAAAAAAAAATTTAAAAGCCTCTGCCGATCAGGCAACTCAGCTGGCAACTCAGCATTTTTTCCCCCTACAACCTCTTCGGCTGAAGAGGATGTAGAAAAAATGTTTTTAAAAATAAAAAAAAGCCTCTGATGATTGCGCACCTCAGCTGGGCGGGGGGGGAAGGGATTTTTGCTCTGAACCACCCGCCTCCATCGCTACCGGATCGGGCAATCCAGTCCAAACCGGGAGCATTTCACCCCTGACTTGAACCCTGGGCATCCCTAATCTTAGTTCAACTCTTCAGTTACTATAATGCATTGGTATTATTCCTAGTCTTATTTTTTCTTTCAGTGTTTGTGTAGGGAGGAAGAAGGGTGCATACCAGGGGTGAAATCCAGCAGGTTCTGACAGGTTTTGGAGAACTGGTAGCAGAAATTTTGAGCAGTTCAGAAAACTGGCAAATACCACCTCTGGATGGCCCCAGAGTGGGGTAGGAATGGAGATTTTGCAGTATCCTTCCCCTGCCATGCCCACCAAGCCACACCCACCAAGCCATACCATGCGCACCAAGCCACGCTCACAGAACCGGTAGTAAAAAAATTTGGATTTCACCAATGGTGCATACATGTATTGTGTATAGGGTGGGGTGAGAATCAGGCTCTAGTTCTACACTTGAAAAATTCAATTCAACATTACTGTATTGAGGTCTTCCTGTGCTTTTCTATAATTTCTGTTGTTGCAGGAGTTCAATTCAATTCAATTCAGTTCAAATCTTTATTGTCAGTGCACAACATATGTACAATGAGATTGGTTGAGCTCCCTCAGTGCACCCCCCCCCAAACACAATACAACTCACAGTGAAGACAGAAAATCTCTAACACAATAAATCATATTAACAACACCCAGTCCTATTGCACCAGTGTGAACATGTTACACGTTGCGCCGGCCCTACAGGTCCATCGTACTACATAGTTATGATGTTATTTCGCATTCAGGAGTCTGAGAGCCCATGGATAAAAACTGTTCTTCAGCCTATTTGTGCGGCTGGCTATGCTTCTATATCTCCTTCCCGACGGTAGGAGGATAAAGAAGTGGTGTCCAGGGTGTGAGTCATCCCTGAGGATTTTCTCTAAGGCAGCGAGCCCTAGCAATCTCATCTAGTGGTATCAGGGGACAGCCCACAAAGTTTTGTGCTGTACTCACTACCCTCTGTAATGTTTTTCTATCCGCGGCTGTCAAACTGGCATGCCATACCATGATACAGTAAGTTCAGAAGCATTTGAGCACGATCTGGATAGCAATAGCACTTAGACTTATATACTGCTTTACAGTGTTTTACAGCCCTCTCTAAGCAGTTTACATAGTCAGCGTATTGCCCCCAACAATTTGGGTCATCATTTTACCCATCGTGGAAGGATGGAAGGCTGAGTCAATCTTGAGCCTGGTGAGATTTGAACTGCCAAATTGCAGGCAGCCGGCAGTCAGCAGAAGTAGCCTCCAGTACTGCACTCTAAACACTGCACCACCATGGCTGATGGGATGTTGCAATGTTTCCCAGAGTTTAAATGTTTTTCTTTTGCCAGTTTTTCCATATTTGTTTTAAGGGCTTTGTATCGCTTATTCCCTGTGCTAATAGTGCAGTGACTGTGAACATCATTAAACAATGACTCACTTTATATAGCATCTTTATAGCCTCTTCAACAATTATTTCTCTGCCGTCTCTTCTATGGCTCGCCAGATCTAATTTCATCTCTGAACAAGCAGCCTTGCACAACTTTCATACCTTTAAGAAATAGCTCTTGCTCCCTCTGTTCTTGTTTGTAAAGACTCCCCCCCGCCCCCCAACAGATGCTCACACTTTGCTTGCATTATTTGGGCTGTGTCTCACGCAGCAGGAGCAGCATTCAAAATGCAAGTGGTGGCTTATAGCTGTCTGAGCATCTCTGAAAGATCCATCACAGAGTCCCTCGTCACAAACGTTGGCTCCAGCGTCATGTTTTTCCCTGCAGAGCGATATTATTAGCTTCATATGTGTTTCTCCCCCTACTTATAGTTGCAAAAAAAAAAAAAAAAAGACGGCAAGGGATTGTGTGAGATCAACACATCAAGCTTTTTACTCTTTTCCCTGTTTATTCCCCCCCCCTTTTTAAAAAAAATTATTATTGACTGCAGTCCCTGATGATGTATTATGGGCAAGGTAGAAATTTGATCTTTATTGACGTTGCCACCTCTGGAAATAAAGAAAATGGATAAGAACAAAAATAGTAATTGGAAATAGCTCCAGTGGAGGGAACCTGTCATGAGATGAATTGATTCAGCAGTGGTGGCAGAAGTAGCGCTATTGATTGGGAGCCTTTAGTGAATTAAAAAAGAGAGCCAGGCATCTAATATGCCTCTTTCTTTTCTTTGGAAACTATGGACGTGCGAGGGAATGAAACAAAGAAGTGGAAATTTACAGTTCTCTGGTTGGACAAAAAAAAGATTCACAAAGAGGCACAACAAGATCGTCTCTGTCTCCTTTGGCACCTGATTTTTTAATAGTTAATGGGATCAGGACTTTTCCATGTGGAGGCAAGATGATGATGATGATGATGATGATGATGAATTAGGGGCAGACGTTGTTTGAAGATGAATGTAAAAGCTGTAAATGCTGATTTTCAATTAGATATTGTTCTAGTTGAAAATGCTGCTGGGGAAGCCAACTAGGCTTCCCCAACAGCACCAAGCTGAGTCCTCATCCCGATAAACCCCTTTTATTTAATTTACACTGAATTCCTCTCCAGCTAAAGTCTTTCCTCTCCCATAGTCTTTCAAGATAGTTCACAATTACCGACCTTGATCAGTCTTGGAGAGTGGCCAGGCTGATATCTTTCAGATGCCGCAATACTTGACAAGAATGCAGTAATGAACTAATTGTCTCCTGCAAACTCCATTCCCCCTTTGCTCCTCTTTTATTCCCTCTGGAAGGGGCCATTCATCGCCCACCTGTGGCCTTACTCCCAAGTCGACCCTTGTTCTTTAGCTGTTCTCTTCGTCTGGCAACTCTGTGCATGTGGACACTGGGGACAGGCTCCAGCTGTTCGTCTGCCTCACTGATGTCTGGCAGCTGATAACAGGCATATGACTCTGTCCCCCTTTGCCTCTGATGCAGAGCCCTCATCAGAATCTTCCCAAGACTCCAGGACTGGCCCATGCTCCTCCCTAACCTCCTCACTGTCTGAATCTGCTGCCAGATCCGCTGGTGGGCCACAACAGATATTTTTAAAAAAATGTTTAAAAGGGGATGCAGCTGCGATTAAAAAAAATCAAAAGTTTTAGGTCAAGAGCGCACAACTTGAGATCTCAGAGCCACTTACATCTGTGAAAGCTTATAATTGTAGGCTTGTAAAGTTGGAAAGGACTACAAGGATAATATAATTTATCCCTCTGCAGGAAACCAGTTAAACTATCCACAAGAAATGGCTTTCTATCTTCTTCTTCAAAGCCTTCAATGATGGAGAACCTACAATGTCCGCAAGACTATTCCATTATTATAGTCTTGACAGTCTAACAAACAGTTATACAGATTATATATCATAAATCTTCTTCTTAAATTTTAATGAAATGTAGGCCGTTGCAACTTAAGCCTGTTACTTTTGGTCCTTGTTCCTGTGGCCATGGACAATAGCTCTTGATCATTTTCTTCCTTTTTCTACCAGCGCATGGATATCATGAACCCTGATCCTGTGGATACCAACGTGCCTCTCGGGGCCATTAACTCATGATATGATGCAGAAAGGGCATTAGCTTGTCTCTCATCATGTGATCTGAATGGTACATCTTGCATCTTGCAAGTACACATCTTGACAACTTTCAGTGACAAGAAATAATTGTGGATTCCATTCTTTTTCTGCAGATTGTTATGGATTTTAAACATCCTGATGGACGCACCGTTGCAGTGTTGCTGCCTCAGCGGAGTTTGCTAGTGATGTCTGGAGAATCCAGATACCTCTGGACCCATGGGTAAGAGCTGGTTTTTACCTTGCAGTCAAATAATTATAAATTGGCAATGTATAGTATAGTGAGACTTTATTTTTGTTAGCGGTCAATAACATAAACAACCTATTTAACCTGTTAAAGGTAAAGGTTCCCCTCGCACATATGTGCTAGTCATTCCCGACTCTAGTGGGTGGTGCTCATCTCCGTTTCAAAGCCGAAGAGCCAGCATTGTCCGAAGACGTCTCCATGGTTATGTGGCTGGCATGACTAAACGCCAAAGACGCACAGAACACTGTTACCTTCCCACCAAAGATGGTCCCTATTTTTCTACTTGTATTTGTTACGTGCTTTTGAACTGCTAGGTTGACAGAAGCTGGGACAAGTAACGGGAGCTAACCCTGTTATGTGGCATTAGGGTTTCGAACCACTGAACTGCCCACCTTTCGATTGACAAGCTCAATGTCTTAGCCACTGAGCCACCACGTCCCTTTAATCCTGTTAGTAATATGCATAAAAGACATATCACCACCTTAAAGTATCTATCATCTGAATTTTGATTGACTATATGAGCAATTATGAAGGAAGAGGTCTTATACATATGAAGCTCAGTTTTCTGTTCTGTTGACAACTAAAGAATTAGAAGTTTTCATACAGGACTTGTTTGTTGAGGCAGAAAACAAACAGTGATGCCACCTGGGTGAAGGTGCAAGTATTTAAGATAGATGACATTTCTTAACCCTACCCTTCCTTCAAGGAGCCTCCTCAGATATACATTTCATTTTCACATTAACTCTGTGAGGTCGTGACTTTAATCATCTGCAAAGCTTTATGGCCGATGAATGATTTGAATTTGAATTTCCTTCAACCTAATTAAACCTATTAATCAGTAGAACACCTGGATTCCAGAGGGCATCAGAAAGAGAGCAGGATGTGTTAGCAGTTCCCGGAAACCTTAAGAAGTAGGAAACTGATAGAATTAAAGCAGCCTCCCTCAGTTTAGTGGGAATAGTCATACTTAGCTGGAGTTGTTATTCCAACATTTAAAGACAGCAGTTTAAGAATAGTGAGCTAGGGGAATAAAGCAGATTATGTTGCATTGATAAATAACACTGAACTAGGAGTTTTTAAAGTAGACATTGCAAATGAGAAAAGCAAGCATCGATGATTTATTCAGTTCTTGGGTTTTGGGTTTGTTTCTTTGTTTTTGTCAGCTTGTATCTAGAAAAAAAGTGGAACAGAAAAGCAGTCTAGAAATTATAATTCTGGTAAACTGCATTTAAAAACAAGCTGGGATTTGCAAACTACAAAAAATCAGGAATTCATGTTCCTTTTTAATTGCTCCATACATCATGTCAAATTAAAGCAAAGTATTCACTTTGTGGCTTAATAAATTCTATGAACTTAGAATGTAGTAAATCTCATTGAAATCTAGCCTATAGGTAGTCCTCGACTTACCATTCATTCAGTGGCTATTCAAAGTTACAATGACATTGAAAAATGTGATTTACAACTAGCCTTGTACTTCCAATCAATGCAATATCCCCATAGTCACATGTTAGAAATAGGTTGTTTGTCATCCAACATGATTGCAATATTCTGGGATCTTGTGACCATCCTTTACAACCTTTCCCACTGACTTCCAGCAAGCAAAGTCAGTGGGGAAAGCCAGATTTGCTTAAAGACCACGTGATTCATTTAACAACTACAGTGATTTGCTTAATCATGACAAAAAAAAAAGGTGGGGGCATAACATGGGTGCAATTCACCTAACCACCACCTTGCTTAACAACAGAAATTCTGGTTAATTCTGGTTAACAAATTCTGTTGTGGTTGTGAATCGAGGATTATTCTTAATACACATAAAATATTCATCAGTTTGGCCAGTTAATACCAGGGGTGAAATGCTCCCGGTTCGGACCAGATCACCCGATCCGGTAGCGATGGAGACGGGTGGTTCGGAGAACCGGTAGCAAAAATCCCTGCCCCCCCTCCCATACCCAGCTGAGCCGCACGATCATCAGAGGCTTTTTTTTTACTTTTAAAAGCATTTTTTCTACAATCTCTTTGGCCGAAAAAATGCTTTTCAAAGTAAAAAAAAAAAGAGCCTCTGATGATCGTGCAGCTCAGCTGGGATCCTCAAAGGCTTTTAAAAGGCTCTGATGATCACAACTGAGTTGCCTGATCAGCAGAGGCTTTTTTTCTTTTAAATGCCTCTGACGATCCAAGCTGAGTTGCCTCTGACGATCAGGCAACTCAGCTTGGATCATCAGAGACATCTAAAAGAAAAAAAGCCTCTGCTGATCAGGCAACTCAGCTGGGATCGTCAGAGCTTTTGAAAGCATTTTTTTACAACCTCTTCACCGAAAAAATGGTTTTAAAAGTTAAAAAAAAAAATGGCCACGCCCACCCAGTCACATTACCACCCCCAACCAAGCCACACCCACAGAACCGGTAGTAACAAATTTTAGATTTCACCACTGGTTAATACCCATTTTGCAAAAAGCAAAGATAATGCTTCTGAGATTTATAAAATGTGTACATAGGTGTATTTGTGTTTGGTTTTGCTTTGCTCACCAGTTAGAGTCACCCATTATTTGTTCTCCAATAATATTTTTTTGGCCTTGCTGTAGCTCCTTTGACAAGGCTAAATTCAGGTTTTTAGCATAGACATTAATAACAGGCAGAAGGCTTATCTTGTTGGAAATGAAATGCTGATGATCCTGAAGGCTGAAATTCTGGGGATTTTTCAATGCAAGCTGGTCCATGCCAGGCCAAGCTAGTTCCCAGAGGCAGAGTCCACCCTGAGGTAGATGATTATCAAACAGGATTATTCTAAACCCCCTTAGTATTATTCAACATTCCCTCTTTCCTGCCTTCTTTAATATTTATTTATTTGTTTGTTTGTTTGTTTTAATTTGTATACTGCCGTTCTCCAGCAGGACTCAGGGCGATGAACAGCCAGAATAAAACAGAACATACAAAATTTAAAAACAGTTTAAAAATAATTAAATATTTTTGGCCGCAATTTAAAACAAACCCATATGAATATGAAATATGAAATAGATGCTTTGGAAATAGCTTTTTGCTGCTGCTTGCTTCCTGCCATCTCATCCTCCTTGTACTGTCCTCTCAAGATTGTCTTCTTTTCATGATCCTCTCTTAAGTTCATACGTTATTTGCTATTCAGCGTGTATATATGCATATGAACATATTCCTATGAGGGAAGCCTTTTTATTTTTATTATATTAAAGAACTCTTTGGGGTGGAAAATCCCCAACTTGTTATATTAAAAAGCTATATAAGAAAGAGAAACAAGCTCTACACTAAACAGGATCAAAGAGAGAAAAATGGCAAAAAAATATATATGTAAAAATCAATAAATCTAAGATTTATTGCAAAAAAAACCCCCCACATCTGAATCTTGTCTGAGTCTATAGCAGACACTTCGCTATTGTAAGGAGGAAAAGCAGGACGCACCTGGACAATTAGGTTGACCTTCGATTTGTTGTGTGCTCTTGGAATTGCTTTACTTATGAGAAACCCCACTGGGGAGAATATTGCAATATAGCCCTTGCTCTTTTGATCCTAGAGACATCTAGTTTTTCTGCCTTCCTTCCTTCCTTTTTTTCCACATGCTGGCTCTTTTGATTCTTCTTTTGACTCTGGGTCTGCTCTGTAGGAACAAGAATGGTACTAAGCAGGAATGTCTTTGCAAGTGTTTTGCTTTTAATAGAAAGGCATCACTCTTCTATCGCCTTTGAAACATGAAGATGAACTTACAATTGAAGTTATGCTGCCTCAATACAGTTTGCTAGTGATGTCTGGAGAATCCAGATACCTTTTAAAGGTTTTAGCTTTAGAACTGTATGTGTGTGGACTTGTTTGGTCATGCCATTGATTGTTCGACATATGTATTACCGTGTTTTCCCGAAAATAAGCCCTTCCCCAAAAATAAGCCTGTCAGCATTCTGATGCTGCCATAAAAAGACGAGGCTTGACTTTTCACCTACTTATTTTCTCTGTAGATAATACCCCCTAGGAGATGGGATGGGAGGAGGGAACATTCCTGTGGGGTGAGGTCAGAAGCTGGGGAGACTGACTTGGAAGATGGCCAATGAGAAGATGAGAATTGGGGAATGGAAAGGGAAGGGTTTGGGGGTCAGAGGGTTAGTATCAGCTACGACGAAGTCGGGGCCAGATCTGTCGTACTCAATAAATGGAATATTTCAGCAAGGATTAATTGTTTGGGAGTGCAATTTATTTGAGATGACATCGAAACCTGACAGATAGCCGATACTAACCCTCTGACCCCCAAACCCTTCCCTTTCCGTTCCCCAATTTATTTGAGATGACATTGAAACCTGACAAAGCCCTTCCCAAAAAATAAGCCCTCCCCGAAAATATTTAAATGCATGCATAGTCGGTCCCCGCCATTTCCTCTGGTTAGGGTTAGGGAGACAGAACTGGAAATCAGGTAAGACAGCAAGAGGAGCCCATCTTGCTCCACGCACCCCAAAATAATGAGACCTCCCCGAAAATAAGGCCAAGCGCTTATTTCAGGGTTCAAAAAAATCTAAGAAACATGGTATTATGAGAGACAGAGGCAGGGAGAGAGGGAGAGAAAGGGAGAGAAAGAGAGAGGGGGGGAGAGAGAAATCCTTTACTGAAGGAATTTCAGACACAGCGAGTGTCATAGACTGGTCTCTAGATGCATCCAGAGATGAGGAAGTATAGATGGAGGTCTTTGGAGACTTCAACATTGACACTATGTCAGGTCTGCCATCTTCAGCTTGGCGCCTCGCTGGCATCCTGCCTTCAAAAGCTCGGGGAGAGGGGGCACTGGGGAGAACAAATGGGCAATAAACCTGCATTGGGATAGCACTGGGAAACTAGGGGGAATGACAGTTAAGGAAGACCAGGGATGTTTTGAACCAGTTTGTGCCAGTCTTCAAGGACATCAAGAAGCCTGGAGACTATCGGGAATGGAATGCTGATTGCTCCAAATACTGAACGTTCCTAAAACA